GGAGAGCTATCACTATGTCATTATAAACAGAGACTTAACTTTTATTTATTAGTATAAGTGTTTATGCGACCGTTTTGAGGATTAGATTTATTTAAACTTTTAGAATAGAGGTCGAGTTTTTATGAAAAAGACCAAAAAGAAAAACATCTAGACACGAATACATGTGTAAAAAGTCCTTTTTTTGCAACTGACGTGCGGGGCTTGTCTGGCCAATCAACTGAAGTCTCTACTTATTCAACAAATTGCATCTTAACAGAGATAAAGCTGAGTCAAGGTCACTAAGGTCCTCACCTCTCCCCCAGCGTGTCGATTGATATGAACCATAGGTAATTCGACTAAACGACGCCGCCACTTATTTATCTCGGATGGATCAGTGTGCTTAGTGCGAGTATTTTAACGTTCTCGATAGCGTAAAAGTTAACTCAAATTTGTATGGAGATGAAATGTTTGCCTACGTTTATCGCTAGGGGCGCTGTTTCAACTGCATACAAATTTCATTACCGATCCTGCGGACAGAATGGAAAGCAGGCAACGTCGCCCCAAACAAGCCATTTCGGATCCTCCCGATCCACTAACGGTGCTTTTAGGTACCTCAAGCACCGGTCATCGTTCTCGTCGAAACCGTCGGTTGCGACGAAGGGCAATGGCATAGGCAGTGAAGTTATTAGGAATTTTACATAAATGAAATGGCCACAGAATGCGTTTGGATCTTTTTATTGAAAATTACTTTATGACTTTGATAATATTATTATATTATCTTTACTGTAGGATAAATTATCGGTTTACTTATTTTTAAATTTATTTGTCTTAGATAAGTCTAAATTGTCGGTAGACTTTTCTTTTTAAAAAGGTTATGTGAATATAGTTCACCGATGTAAAATTCCGATACACAAAATAAGTAACGTTTTAATGGCAGGACGTGTTTTTTTTTGTAAGTATATTAAAATTGTCTGATAGTTTTGCCACTTCTGGTGCGTTTTTTGCTATTGAATTATTGTTCGTAGTTCCTATTCGTAAATCTCTAGATTTTTTAATCATATAGCATGTTAATTTATTGAAACAAAAACTTTGTGTCTGTCGCGACCTCGTGTCTGTCATCTCTATTTGACGTCAATTACAATGACAAATGGCACTAAACTAGTGTACAACAAAAGACAGTTTTTGTCCCACACACACAACGCTTTTAGAGTTTTTTATTTAACCCTTTTACTGGTATGTAGGTCACCGGTGCCCTACGCGGCGCACTGAAGTATGTAATTAAGTCGATTTCTGTTACTAAGTGCCTGGATTGCTTAGCTTTGCCTTCTTTTGTTTATTAATGAATTTTTTAGACTTTTAGGTCTCCTAGAAAAAGATTAATTCTCTTCAGATTCATTTTTCCCAGAGTATACTAGAAAATCCGACGCCTTAAGTAACAGAAATCAATATAATTACTTACTTCAAGGCACTGGTGACCTAAGTTTTTTTTTTATGATTGAAAGATTACTGGTGACCCGGAGGCCTTTCCAGTTTCACCAGGACAGGTGGCCGAGCAAAGGCTCAGCCAGGAGGGGTGGCATTTGCTAACAACTGCCCGAGCGCCTCCGAAGGGGACCTAACAACTCAAGAGCAATTGCTTCGCGAATGAATCTACTACCGGATCGGAATCGCGACCCACTGAGAAGATCCGGCGAGAAACTCAGCGGGCTGATGGTTTAGGTTGCACGTCGACCTCTTTGTCGAGTTCGACGAGTACGGTTACTGGGGTTCCTAAGCCTGCTCCTAGTGTTAGAGCTGAAGGCGTCTAATGCACCTAAATGGCATTCAAAGATTTAAGTATATTTCTAGATAGGATAGTAAAAATCTGGAACCTTTTGGAAGTGCTATTTACTTAGTCTGGCCATAAATACTGTTACAATTAAAAATAAACAAAATATTACATTTGAATTTGGAATCTGTCATTTTTATATGATTGCTCATTGAGTTTTCTCATTTTGGCGCCAATACATTGTACTTACAATATTCTGCGATATTAAAATGGAGTGGGGTGATAAAGAGAACCGAATCGCTGTGATTGCATTACACAAAGTAGGTATGGAGACAAATGCAATTTTTAAAACTCTCCATACGCTTGGTATTAGTAAAATGTTTGTGTACCGGGCTATTAATAGGTGCAATGAGACCTCCTCTGTTTGTGACAGAAAAATATCAGGCCATCCACGTAGTGTTCGTACGAAAAAGGTGGTCAAAGCAGTAAGGGAAATAATTCGAAGAAATCCTGTCCGAATGCAAAAGATTTTATCTCGGGAGATGAAGATAGCACCTAGAACCATATCGCGTATTTTAAAAGATGACTTAGGACTTGCAGCCTATAAGAGACGTACCTACTGGTCATTTTTTAACTGATAATTTAAAAGAGAATAGGGTGGTAAAATCGAAACAACTACTGAAGCGGTACGCAAAGGGAGGTCATAGAAAAAATTTGTTTACGGGTGAGATTTTTTTTACAATTGAGCAACATTTTAACAAACAAAATGACCGTATTTATGCTCAAAGCTCTAAGAAAGCTTCCCAATTAGTCGACAGAGTGCAACGTGGGCACTATCAGATTTCAGTAATGGTTTGGTGGGGTATTAGCTATGAAGGAGTGACTGGGCCATACCTTTGTGAAAAAGGTATCAAAACATCGGCACAAGTGTATCAAGATACCATTCTCGAGAAGGTCGTGAAGCCCCTTAACAACACCATGTTCAATAATCAAGAATGGTCCTTCCAGCAAGACTCGGCGCCAGGTCATAAAGCTCGGTCTACGCAGTCTTGGTTGGAAACGAACGTTTCCTTCGATCCGACTTCCTTCCTTCCGACTTCATCAGAGCTGAAGACTGGCCGTCGTCTAGTCCCGATCTTAATCTGCTGGATTATGATTTATGGTCAGTTTTAGAGAGTACGGCTTGCTCTAAACGCCATGATAATTTGGAGCCCCTAAAACAATCCGTACGATTGGCAGTGAAAATTTTTCCCATGGAAAGAGTGCGTGCTTCTATTGATAACTGGCCTCAACGTTTAAAGGACTGTATTGCATTCAATGGAGACTACTTCGAATAAGTTTTTTATACTTTAAATTGTTTTATATTTATAGTATTAAACTAACACACTGTAAAAGTAATAAATGTTATTTGCCATAGATTTTTTTTGTTTTCCTTTGTATTTATGGCCAGACTAAGTATATATTCCAAGGAATAGCTGTTCATCTGTCACGATGAAAACATCACTTAGTAGTAATGCGTGCGTCCGCAATTAATCTCTGAAATGATACTAATGCATGATGTCTCAAACTACTTAGTTTTTCTTGTGGAACTGTTTTATGTTAATGTATTTTAAACAAGGCAAAGGTCGTTGGTATGTCTTTGCTTATTAATTTACTATAAAGGTAATTGCTATGACTTTTGGAATTCAAAATTTAATTATGTTGAAGGAAGTGAATACTTTGGTAAATTGTATACTCATTTAATTTATAAGCAACGACATTATCTTGTTGATAAAACGTCGTATGTGTATAAATTTTAAGAAGACATTAGTCTTTCTGTAGCTGTGGATTTGGGTTACAGTTTTTATTGTTGTAAAATATGACAATTGACGTTTTCTCATAGATTGTTAATTAGTATGTGTTGTAGTAGTACTCTGTGTTAATAATGTGTTGTCAGAATTAAGTTCGTGTCCGTTAACGGTTTTTAGCAAAAATAGGGTTAAGGTCTTCAGTGATATCATGATATGTTAGTATCAATTAACTAATTAGATAAAAGTGTTGTGTTCCGATCATACCACAGATTAAACATTAAACATAAATCGTTTACATTTTTTAATTTCGTTTTTATTGTTTAGACGAACGAATTCGCGGCCTGGTTTTAAGTATTTACGAGAACCCATCGATATCTTAACTACCTTGAGAAGGGAGGTATTCCCTTTAATTCGGGGCACATGACTACCTCATGGTGGTATCCACTGCGGCTTTACAATACGCTTAACGACCAATAAAAGTGTTCATGGGATAGAATAGCTTAAGTTTCCTTGCAACTTTTTTTTCCTACCTATGCTGATAGCCTTGACGGCGAGAAACTCAGTGGGCAATGCAACTCTGCACCTGACGGTAGGTGTAGAGTTGGATCCACGATTCTTTTTAGGCATTTATTTTGCAACTTGATTTGCCCTCGACTGGGGGATGCCCCGCGCTATGTTTGCCGATCAGTCCACATTTAAGAATACATATAAACTAATTAATTGGCATTATTTTAGTCATTAGTGATGTGTCAAGAGCTTCACAACACTACGAGTGTACAAGCTATTTTTATTAGAATTTCGAGTAAATTAGATCTTAGATGACACTATTCTTAAACCCCTTTTAAAGATAAGTCATGGCGCACGGTGAATTTAACATACGTAATATTTAAGATACGTATCAAAATTATTTGGACTACGGAATTGGAATTAAGTGCTATTCCATTAATTTTTGGTCGCTTTCAATTACAAAATAAAGCGACTTAATAGAAGTTTCCGCAGGGGCGTCTTCCAACGAGGTTTGAAAAGATTTCGGAGCGCCCATAATTGCTTTTTCCCCCACTTATTCGCTGGTAGGCTAGGAGTCATTCCAGCTACGGGTTAGGTGAGCTCACGGGCTCATCCTGAAACATCATTGCTATTTTGACAATATGAGCCGTGATCCTTAGAGACTTTAATGCATGATATACAAAGGTTTATTTCTCGTCAAACAAGCAGTGTGCTTAGTGTGAGTTTTTTAACGTTCTCGATAGCGTAAACGTTAACTCAAGTTTGGAACAGCGACCCTAGCGGCAAACGGTCCTACTCTATACAAATTTGAGTTAACTTTCACGCTATCGGGAACGTTAAATACTCGCACGAAGAAAATTGATCAGTAAAAATTATTTACATCGAGCTCCCCCTTAAAAGTTCACATCGGTGACAGAAGACGCGATGATGTTTACAATATCAATGACGTCATTCGTAGATCGTATAAGACGCAGCCTCCAAGGCTCCACGCTAGTTGCTTTGTAACTTTACGATTATGTTGACGTTTCTCTGCTTGTTCGCTCTCGTCTTAGGGGTGAAGAGTGCCTCGGGTAAGCCACAATAATATTACTATGTACCACAATGCTATTATGATTTTAAGCTTCGTTTGTCCCATTATGAGGTTAATTGTGTTGGAAGAATGCTGAAATATACGAATTATAAATATTTCAAGTCATTTTACTGGTGGTAAGACCTCTTGTGAGTCTGCACGGGTACCACCAGGTACTACCGCCCAGCCTATTTCTGCCGTGAAGCAGTAATGCGTTTCGGTTTGAAGGTTGGGGCAGCCGTTGTAATTACATTGAGACCTTAGAACTTATGTCTCAAGGTGGGTAGCGCATTTACGTTGTAAATGTCTATGGGCTTCAGTAACCACTTAACATCAGGTGGCCTGTGAGCTCGTCCACCCATATCAGCAATTAAAAATATCCAATACTACACGCTTCAGTTTTGTTCATATTTTTATTACTTTTAAGCTCAGAAACGTATATCTTGCAAAGGGCTGACAATAGTGAGCTTAGCTATGCCCTTGGTTTCGAACATTATGTTCCCTTAGTTCATGTGATTGTCAAAAACTATAAAGACTGGCTACCACAGAGCTTTACAAATTTTTCGTAGTGTAGAGAGAGAAATGGATTGCTTTATAGAAAAAAAAAATTTACGCACGCAAAACGCACACGGTCTGTACCGTTTTTCTTTATATATATAATAATATATTTGCACGCAATTTACAACGCCGTAGATATCATAATATTATAAAATTATATACTGATACATACATATATGTATATTCATGTACACATTTTTTATAAACATATCACATATTTATCACCTCAGTTCTTTAAAAAAATTCTAAAAAGAAAAAAGTGCTAAATACCCTTTTCTGTTTTGTTTGTCGAGTAGCTCAATAGCTAGCATAAGCTATTGATTAGTTTTATTTATAAGACATTTTGGAAATATTATATTTTTTATTTTATTTTTTTTAAATTTATGCCATGGAAAGGTGGACGAGCTGACAGCCCACCTGGTGTTAAGTGGTTACCGGAGCCCAAAGACATCTACAACGTAAGTGCTGTCACCCACTTTTAGATATGAGTTCAAAGGTCTCAGCATAGTTACAACGGCTGCCCCACCCTTCAAACCGAAACGCATTACTGCTTCACGGCAGAAACACGCATGGTGGTGGTACTTATCCATGCGGAGTCACAAGCGGTCCTACCACCAGTAATGTGGACAAAAAAAAACGAAAATATATCAGAATCTGACGGTGTTACTGATTATGTTTGAAAATAATCACTGAGAGAATTCTATTTAATTAGAGTAGTTTAGACTGGTTTCTCTAAGAGCCAATGGTAGTTTTCCTGTTGGTCGTTATGGCGGTAAAGAGGTGGGATCCGGTACTAAATCATGTTTTTTTTAAATTTCGACGCATAGATGAGCTCATTGCTTACCCAAGGTAATGTGGTCAATGGAACCTATAGAGGTAATGACGTGACGTGACGTTGTAGTCGTCGTGGCCTAAAGGATAAGACGTCCGGTGCATTACCATCTAGCGATGCAACGGTGTTCGAATCCCGTAGGCGGGTACCAATTTTTCTAATGAAATACGTACTTAACAAATCTTCACAATTGAATTCCACGGTGAAGGAATAACATCGTGTAATAAAAATCAAACCCGCAAAATTATAATTTGCGTAATTACTGGTGGTAGTAGGAAGTTTTGTGAGTCCACACGAGTATGTACCAACACCCTGCCTATTTCTGCCGTGAAGCAGTAGTAATACGTTTCGGTTTGAAGGGCAGCCGTTTTAGCTAGACCTTAGAACTTATATCTCAAAGTGGGTGGCGCATTTACGTTGTAGATGTCTATGGACTCCAGTAACCACTTAACATCAGGTGGGCTGTGAGCTCGTCCACCCATCTAAACAATAAATAAAAAACGAGAATGTTAGACCCACCCACTTAAAGGCATGAGATAGAAATTTCTTGATTTTTGTACCAGCCGTCCCAATTCCCGAACTGGAACGCAGGAGATTGCAGAATTAGAGCTTAGGCAAGATAGACTCCAATATTTTTATAATTCGAAAGCAATAAATACAAACTCAACTACCGATAATGCAAATCAAATGATCATCAAAATAAAAATAAGATTAGAATACATAATTTAAAAGCAATAATAATGAGAAAATCTAGGTTACCACATAATTTAAATGATAACAGAACAATGAATCATTGAAAAATACAATGAGCGTTAAAAAAATGTTTACTAGTATTTAAGATTGTAATTGACGGCCCTTGCTTAAAATGGCACCAGGAAACCAGCTCATAACCATTAAATGAGCACATAATATATTGTCCTTATTGTTAACTCACTGTAGTGAGTACCTATACTACACTAGTCTTAATAAAGTGTTTAAAACAAGTTTAAATGTACCTACCTTTGCCAAAGAGATCTCCTTCCGTGTATTTCATTCTGTATCGCAATAAGCGTTTATTGAACAGGAATTATGGTTAAAAAATCACTGCATTTTCTTCCTTATTATAGCTTTATTGTATGGATTCGAATTACATCCAATTTAAAAATAATATTAAAGCTTACAAATAATATTGAATAATAAAATTAAACTTTACAAACAATATAGAAAGGGTCGATAGATTTTGTGGTGTACGAAAACTCATATTTTGCATTTTTCTGTCACGTACCATCCGGCTTTGGAATGAACTCCCCTCCACGGCGTTTTCCGAGCGCTATGACATGTCCTTCTTCAAACGAGGCTTGTGGAGAGTATTTAACGGTAGGCAGCGGCTTGGCTCTGCCCTCGGCATTGCTGAAGTCCATGGGCGACGGTAACCACTCACCATCAGGTGGGCCGTATGCTCGTCTGCCTACAAGGGCAATAATAAAAAAAAAACCATTGACTCAACGACTAATCTGGTTGATTTAAATTGATTTCTTGGTGGCAGAACTATGTATTTCATTGGTTCTATTCGTGATCAAAATACATCGTACCATCAGTAATTCATCGTGGAAGAAGCTCGCAAATAAATGTTATTTACGTATTTATTTAGATAGATAAATGCAGGAACTACTGCAGATACTACTACTTGCAGGATAGTTTAGATATAAGTACCCAGAGCGGTACCCACTACTCCCACTTCTCCACGGGAGTATTCCCGTATTATTATCATCTAGCCTTCACTAACTTGTTCTTTGCGCTTCACCCATCTAAGACCTAACGTTTACAAGGAAAGCGATGATGTATTAATTTATACAAACGTGCTGCAAAATATGATATCGAATTAACCACGAAATAACTTGTACTAACTGACCCTGAATATAATAATAACAAAGGGCATATCAGGCAAAGCGATCTCTTCCAAACAACCTTGGACGGAGAGGATTTTATAAGGAAATAACAACATTTATAATAGAAATTATTTGACTGTTTTTCTTAAAATCGTGGTCCATTCTAACGATGACTTATGGGTGTTTTGTTTTGTTTGTTTGTGTACGAGTGGACGGGTTCACTGACCAAACAAAGAGTACTCCATCGTTAGAAGTCGTCGTGGCCTAAAGGATAAGACGTCGGGTGCATTCGTATCTAGCGATGCACCGGTGTTCGAATCCCGCTGGCGGGTACCAATTTTTGTAATGAAATACGTACTTAACAAATGTTCACGATTGACTTCCACGGTGAAGGAACAACATCGTATAGTAAAAATCAAACCCGCAAAATTATAATTTGCGTAATCACTGGACGCTTGTGAGTCCGCACGGGTAGGTACCGCTACCCTTCGTATTTCTGCTGTGAAGCAGTAATGTGTTTCAGTTTGGAGGGTGGGACAGCCGTTGTAACTATACCCAGTATAACTTAAAGGGTTAACTAAATATAGAGACCTTAAAACTTATATCTCAAGGCGGCGGTATTTACGTTGTAGATGTCTATGGACTCCGGTAACCACTTAACACCAGGTGGATCGTCTATCCTAAAACATAGCCTAGGTAACTCTTAGATGCATTGGATTACGGATACGGTACATATCTGGAGCCGGAGCGAGCCAAAATCGGGATATCAAAACAAGCCTTGCTAAGCTAGCATTTTATATATACCTACACGCATTGTTAACGACTGCTCTGTACTGATGTTTTAGAACTGGGGTTCCCAAGCTTATTTTGTCTACTGCCCACTTTGAGAATAAATTCTTTTTTAACGCCCCCCTATTTTTTCGCCTACTTAAAAAACCACTATAGCGAGAACTCATTCGGTGTCTAAGAGTCCTCCCAGATGAAATCGCTTCCCAAGCTTCTACACAACGCCCCCTTTATTTCTGGGTCTGTCCTCCTTTAAGCTTGGAGCGCCCACAAGTGAGCGTTGTCGCCCACTTTGGGACATGCTGTTCTAGAAGTAGAAGTGCTCGATTATAAGGCTAGAAACTAAGCAAACTAAAGTTTTGAAGCGTCTAGAGTCTAGGCGTTAAAATGAGGCATGTGGAGTATTCTGAGAACCCCTGCCCTAGTATCAGTTTTAACTACGCCCTTAGTTAATGAAGAAATGCGACGGCTGATGAATACGAAGTTCTTGAAACGTCGATTAGTGCCTGTATCCGCTAAGGTCTGAAAAGAACAGGAAAGGGCTGCATCTAAGATTGAAAGAAAGACGGGATCCACATAAATTTTTCACAGTAACCTCAGCAGGATTTAACTCCTTACCTATAAAAAATCCATCCATCATCGCATCATCTTTAATTTGTATTAATAGTTCCTCTAATGGTTCCATAAATTACTTCTTTTACTTCGAATTAAATTCAGTTCTCGATCACATCCAAGGCTCTACTCCTGGCTCAGACGCCTTCCCCCTATCCTTTGTACAAAATCACTGAGCGATACAGTCGTTAATTTCGATAAAATCTAATTAATATTCTGATCTTTATTACATAAGCGTTAATTTTGATCTCGTAATTTTCCTCTCGGAACGTGTTTGCTGTTTGTCGGAGCTGTTATAAATATGGTAGGGAATTATGATAATTTTTAAAGGTTGCTTGGTAACTAATGAAAAACGAATATAAATACAAGGCGTTGCTAAACATTATAATATATAATTGTTCTGATTTTGTTCAGGAATGAAATTGGGTATCCAAGCGTCTGTATGGATTAAACGCTGTCTCTTTTCGATTTCAATGAATATATTGTGTTCAACTTATTATATTGTATACCTATTGTGGTTAATTTATTGCAGCACCCTTCATAACACCGTGTAAAGTTGGAGATTCTGCCTGTTTTGTGGCTTCTGCACAAGCGGCAGTGCCGATCGTGGCCGCCGGTATTCCCGACCTGGGCATCAAGCCCTTGGACCCGTTACACATATCCGTGATCAATGGGAACCAGGGTGGGCTCGAGTTGACCTTTAAGGACACCATCGTTCGCGGCTTGAGCGGTTGTCACGTGGAAGGTGTTAAGTAAGTTTTGTTAACACACTTTTATTACCTTTTTGTTATTAATACGTATGTTTGTTTTGTATGTAACGGAATTTTTGTACGCCATTCCCTATATGGATTTAGCGAGTTCAAAACGTTGACAATTAACTTAAAAATTTGAACACACATCAAGTACCGATGACAACATACACATTTTATCACTTCTCTCTAAAATCCTGACCAGTATCAACAGGATAACAAAAAATTTATGAAATAATTCGTTAGTCCAGTTAACTTGGTTTAATCTTGTTCTTATTCGTTTTGAAACTATGTATATTTTTACGATTATGCTCTATTTCGCTTTCATTAAAAAGTCAGGCCTTAGATTAAAGGCGAAGCGGATAAAAACAAGAAAGATGACAAGGAACTAAGGGGTACGAGTCGATGTAGGCCGGTTACAGGTACATACTACATCTGTTATAAATGAATGCTTTTAAAATAAATACGTAGTGCCAGCCTGACTTGTGTTCACCAATTTTCAAGAATAGCATCTGTGTAGTAAAAATTAAAATCCCCAATCCTACTAATACTACCCTAGTACTAGTATCTAGTACTTACTAATACTACCATACTACCCTGCCACTCTACAATACAATTAAGACTTTGACCTCATGGCGTGAGGTAATTGTTGCTATCCAACCATCCAAGACGCGATTTTGGTGGATTACGATAAAGACCAATCAATGAGAGCAGATCTTGTTGGCTGGCTGGTACGAGATTCATAGGTAATTCACTTCTCTTGATCTGTGTGTCTTAGAAGAGATACCTTAATCATCAACAACAAAAGCGCGTTATCAAGTTAATAATAAACGTAATAACTGGTTATTACAAACGATCGACCTTTATTATATACTTGTTAGCAATGACAATCACAATTATCTAGAATACAGAATAGATAAATATAAATGTTTATAGAAGACACTTTTACGACGAGACGATAGACATCATAACCTGAATTACATCACCCTACTTGAGACATGAGGTCGATGTCTCAATAGTATTGTTTAACGCTTGTTCCACCCCTTAAGCCGGAATGTATGAGTATTTTGCAACAGAAACTGGCAGGATACCATTTTGAAATCTTTGATAATTGCGTCAATTTAAGAAAAACTTTGCCATAGTGTCATCCATACTTTTTTTAAACCACAATGAGTGAAAGGGGACTTAAAGTAAATATCTTTAAAAAAAATTTTGTAGAAAAATAATTTTGTTTATTTTTGTGGTTAAAAACTTTGTGGCATTGAGGGATTTTTAAGGATTGAGGTGAATAGAAGCGCTACTTTGATCAGAAATATTTATATTTATTTATTTAAAATCAGAAATATTTGAAAAACTGTGTAAGTAGGTACATGTTAGTCAAAAATGTCTTAGGAGGTGTCCATTTTCGAAGGATCTCCATTTTTTTCTGCAATTAAATAAAAATGGTATATTTTTTTCTTTTTTTTTTTCGTCTAGAGTATTTTTTTATGAGCAGGTTCATTATCTGGTGTCCGCTCATCGTTTTTTTTTTTATTGCTTTGATGGGTTGACGAGCTCACAGCCCACCTGGTGTTAAGTGGTTACTGGAGCCCATAGACATCTACAACGTAAATGCGCCCCCCATCTTGAGATATAAGTTCTAAGGTCTCAGTATAATTACAACGGCTACCCCACCCTTCGAACCGAAACGCATTACTGCTTCACGGCGGAAATAGGCGGGGTGGTGGTACCTACTCGTGCGGACTCCCAAGAGGTCCTACCACCAGTGATTACGCAAATTATAATTCGTTGAACTCGTTGAACTTTTGGACAAGTTATATGCAATATAGTTAAGACTTTGAACTCATATCACAAGGTGAGTAGTGGTATTCAGGTAATGAGCATTATGGGCGTAATCACTTAAGATAAGGTGGCTTAATAAAAATGTTAACTCGAAAAGGTCGACATCGGATACCCAGATCTTCAAGATTATCCACCAAGAGTTGTTCACGAAATGTGTGTTTAAAATAATAATAAAAAAGGGGAACATTTTTATAAATTTATTAAAATTTGTGGAATTTTCCATAATACTAATACACAATATTTTATTAATAGTTCACACATTACGTAACGTATTTATTCCGAGACCACCTAATGAGCCGTGTTTGAATTCATTTGTTTATATTTAGTAAGCGGGTATTTATTTAGTCGATTTGATGGTTTTAAAATATATTATGTGAATCTATTAAGTACTAAATTCATCAAATTAAACTTTTATTTTTTGTAAACAAACTTGTGCTATATTGACGAGATATTTATCAGTCGAATAGTTTGGAATGTCTATTTTAAATAATTATGTATTTAGAAGGTGCCTATCGAAATTAAAATTACAAATAAGTATTCAGGGGTCATCTCTGCTGTCTCTCTGATGTGGTTGTATCTCGAACATACGACCTCTTGAATTAAATGTTTAGATACATGATTTAATACTGGCCACAAATGTATATTCGATTCATAAATTATTTGAAATTCAATACAAATGTAAATGAGACACCACGTGACTCATGAGGTCGAGTTCAAACCGTAAAGCATCACTACTTGTATGTTATTTTTTATTAAGGGAGAATGTCATTCGACATTTGGCGGGAACGCTGAGAGCGAAGTTGTGCAATTGTTTTATTTTGTTTAGTGTTTTACTTTTATAATTTTGGTAATGTTTCTAATCTGCGAAAGTGCACAAATGTGGTTCTTCCAAAAAGTCCACTGAACTCCCAGTAAATAATCACCAATTAATATGCGACCCAGGCGACAGGGCAACGAAATTCCTACATTGTCTGAAACATGCCTTTTCGGATCCCCCGGAACCACTCTTGGTGCTTTTATGCCCTTCAAGAACCGGTCAGAGTTCGACGAACGAACTAACCCATAGGCAGAGCCCACTGAGTTTCTCACCGAATCTTCTCAGTGGGCCGCGATTCCGATCCAGTAGTAGATTCTGCGAAGCACTTCTCTTGTTAGGGTTACTGTTAGCAAATTCTCTCAGGTTGAGCCCGTGAGCTCACCTATCCATCAGCGCAAAGCTAAAATAACCCCTTGCTACCAGCAAATAGGTAGGTAGGGAAAAAAAACACCAATTTTCTAAGACTTTACTTAAATTATTCCTATATCATCTCATTTCACTTGACACGTAGAAATTATATTTAAGCTAGGTCTTGTAACCGTTGGTCGTAAATGAATTAGATAAAAGAGAAGCCGAATGCCAAGTTGATAAAAAAAAAACAGGAACACAATGTTATTCCTACATCGTGCAATTCGTGTACGTGTGCCATTTACATAGGTACCTAATTACTGTAAATAATTTTGTGCCGCAGCATAGATGCATCACTCGACACAATGTGTCTTACCCGGCGATGTTTTAGGCGACGGAAACTACACGAATACTACAATAATCGCTTTATCTGATATTTCAGAAACGATCCAGCCAAAAAGAAGCAAGCGGTCACCATCAAATGTTCCGTGACACTAACTGGTGATTACAAACTTAGCGGTAAACTGTTGGTGCTTCCCATTGAAGGCGAAGGAAAATACAATATCAAAATACGTATGTTCAATCTATCCTACTAATATTATAAACGCGAAAGTTTGTAAGATTGTATGCATGTATGTTACTCTTTCACGCAATGCATTTTCATGAAACTTTACAATAATATAGCTGACACGTCAGAATAACACATAGGCTATATATTAAAAAAAAGATATTGTGTAGATTACCTAAAATATAACGATAATTAGTGTCAAGTAAGTAGAAAAAAATCTGACATTTTATTTTCATAACCAATAATAAATTATAGTTCCCGAAGCGAAGCGAGACCGGGTCGCTACTGATTAATAAATGGCAAAGTCGAAGTCATCTTTGACTAAAATGAACTAAAACTAGCTTAAATAAAAAATACTTCAGGAGACATCGTGATCAAGACTGCAAACGATCTGGTGACAGTGACAGGAGCTGACGGCAAACCACACTGGCATATCGAGTCGTGGAAGCATACGTACGAAGTGAAGACGGGAGCTCATTTCCAATTTGAGAATTTGTTTAATGGAAACAAGGTGTTGGGTAAGAATTATAAAAAAGATTGCTATATCTATTACTAATATTATAAAGCTGAAGAGTTTGTTTGTTTGAACGCGCTAATCTCAGGAACTGCTGGTCCGATTTGAAAAATTATTTCAGTGTTAGATAGCCCATTTATCGAGGAAGGCTATAAGCTATATAACATCACGCTAAGACCAATACAAGCGGAGCACCAATAAAGAATGTTTCAACATCGGGTTTTTTTTTCCTTTTGAGAGCTTTTCCTGCGTGCGCTGCAGAAACGGTTAAAGTTTCGCTAAAATAATGTATGACAGAATTGTTCCCCTTTAAAAGATCTAAAAAAAGGTTCGCGACAGCATATGTCTATATGTTAAAGTTGGTTCACTATAACATTTTTTATGCTAACCAAATTTGTTCTAAAATAAAGCATTATTTGTGAACTATTTCACGCGGACGAAGTCGCGGGCAAATGTTAGTGTTTTATAAAGGCATAGATATTTGAATAAACTCACATCTTAACGTTAATGCCAATAACCACTGGGCGGAGTGAGAGCGAAATCTCATCGTTATAGCAGCTCCAAAGCACCATGCCTCGTAATAGAACTATGCACCACATTTTTTTTTAAATAAAAAAATATATTGCGGCTTGCACTCCCAGTAAGTATTACAATCTACTTGGCGATTTAATTAGATCAAATATCAGACAGACACATTTTTCAGCGACAACGACACTAACAAAACGGTTTCGTATGATTTAAAACAAAACGGTTTCTGCCGTGAAGCAGTAATGCGTTTCGGTTTGAAGGGTGGGCCAGCCGTTGTAACTATACTGAGATCTTAGAACTTATATCTCAAGGTGGGTGGCGCATTTACGTTGTAGATGTATATGGGCTCCAGTAACCACTTAAAACCAGGTGGGCTGTGAGCTCGTCCACCCACCTAAGCATTAAAATAAATAAATAATACAATTTCAGCAACTCCCGTCGAAGAATTTGTGAACTCAAACTGGAAGGACGTGATGCAGGAAGTAGCTCCGCCCATCGTCCGGTCCATCGTGTCCGAGGTGGTGGCTGCCGTAGATGCCCTGTACAAGGCTGTGCCGGCCGAAGACCTTTACTTGCAGTAAACTTATTGTAATTTTAAAAGGGAAAGCTGTATATGTGATAAATAAAATTACTTTTTTTTGGTTACACTTTTTTGCTACCTGTTCTTTATTCTGCAGCATGGAATTTATCCTTAGCTGCTTATGTTTTTGAAGCTTTTATACGCGTGTTTAATCAAAGTTAGAGCTATACCTCTTACTTACATGTTGGTGAAGATTTGAAACAATCAAATAGAAACTAAAAAAAAATTAATGTCCTCTTCTTCAATTTAGTCATTTAAAAAATAGAGCTACATAATATAATTATTCTTAATAATTCAAATTAATGAACAACAATAAATAGCATGCGAGCTGTTTTAAAATATTTGATCGAATTTCAGTAAATTTTCACTAAATTTTTACTCATTCATTCATTCGTTGGTTTTTTAATTATTTCTAATAAAAAAAAAATTAAGTGTTACAAGTTAGTACTTAGGTACTTACCGTACCTACCTACTTTAAAGTTTTCAATATTTTCAAAATCAATTCAACAAATCAAGCGTCAATTTGTAATTTGACGCTTAGCGTCACTTGGCTTTTGGGCGGGAACGTGAGGAGCGAGGTTGCGTGAATTGTTTTATTTTGTTTATTGTAACGGACGTGACGTCAGCTGTCATGCCCTGCCGCCAGCCAAGCCGCCAAGCCATATTAACACGCCCCCTTCCGCCACAGCCACCGCCACCGCCGCCAGCCAAAGCCAACGAAGGGGGGATAGTGTTAATAAAACAAGCCGTGCCAGCCATTTCTACTACTTTTCTGCATTCTTGCACAAATAAAAGAACTTGTCGTTACGCTGNCTGGGTAAATTGGGACGGCCATTATTTTACCGATTATTTCTTTAAAATGAATAATTAAAATAATGTAACGGTTTTTATCACCTAGGTACGTTCAAGACTCAACTTATTTCTTTGGTTGAGCAGTGACTATTTAATTGGAACTATTTTAAAATTCAATCTGAAGGTCGATTTTGTCCCTATTTACCCCATTGTACGGTAATAACGATGGCTTACCAACTGTTTAGTACCGCAAAATGGGGTGATAGGAATTGAGAGGTGATTGGGGAAAAAACCAGGAAAATCTTTCGACGCTCAATATTAGTTCTATATTTGTTGCAAAATCTTCAATTTTTTTGTAGATTAATAGTAGAATGTTGAAAGTTCACAAAACAACTTTGAATATGCATGAAAATAGCTGCTAACTTATAAAAAATCGCATTTCAAATTAACTTCTTGGGGTGGTAATTATTTTAGTGTTAGAAACTTTGCTCTCTTTTATTTATTTGATAATAATAGAAGACGACTGTGATTCATAAATGTAATTTAGTGTTTGAACCATCGTATATATTAAAAGTGAGTCTCAGTTTTTATCGATTTTAATGTATTTGTAAAAATAAAAATACATGTAAAAATCTATTGTTTTTGGGGATATTGGAGACGTCTCAGGTACAAATAACAACGAAAAAAGGGTCAATTGGGATGAGAATAAGTGAAACGGAAACGATCTAAGTATAAATAGGTACAGGTTTGTAGGGTTGTCTATGTAATTATAACAATATTTTTTAAATTTTTTGGTAAGAATCTGGTTTATTCATGATGTTTTTGTCTAGAACTTTTATTCAAAATTATCAATGCAGTGTTCTTTTATTGTTTGGCAAATATTTACATTATAAGTTACGTATTGTTTTCTATTTTTAGATATGCCTCGCGTTTACGTATCAGAGTCCAAATACTTATAAGAGATATGATTCCTTAATATTGAAAACAGTAATAGAAGCCTATGAAATTAGGAATAAGTCTTTAGTTGAAATAGCTAAGCAATTTAATATAAGTAAGTCGCTTTTGCACAGACATGTAACAAGAACAATGAAATGTCAAGGTGGACATAAAATGTCTAATTAATACATAATAAAATATATTAATATTTGTTCAGAGTTAGTGCGCACGGCGGGAAGTCGTTGGATGCGGAAGGCGGAGGACCGCATTATGTGGAAGGCATTGGGGAAGGCCTATGTCCAGCAGTAGGCAGATAAAGGCTGATGATGATGATGATGATGATGATGATGTTCAGAGTGGGGGTATCCACCTGATTAATCCATGGAATAACGGATACACCTAATCTCTTAACCCAGATAAAAATATCAGCCCCTAAGTGCTTACTAAGAACGAAGAAATATAAACTGCTTTTAAGAAAGCCCGCTCGTTTCAATTTAGGTGCTTACTCTCCCTTAAACAGAATCGTTTGCGATTACAATAATGTCCACGGTAGAGCGGTCTCCGTCAATGTTCATTCGGAGTTGTCCGATTGCGCTGAACTAACTTTAAGTGATGAAATAGATGTTTTTTCTAATTGTCTCACAACTTACAGGAAAAATCTGTCGCGGATAATTTCACAAGTAAATATAAATTACTCATAAGTATGTATACTCATAAATGTAATCGAGTTTTAGTTATATATTTTTTATTTTTGTTGTTAATGCACTGTCGAATGCACCTATAATTGAGGTGACATCTGCCATGTACTTTTGTCAGTTTTTCAATGTTTTTTATTGATGATCACTATGTTGTTGCAACTAAATAAATAAATAAATTAAAGCCAAGGAGTGCCAGCCCTAGCAAATTTCTCTATTAACACGAATTTCGTCCCCAATAACCGCAATTTCTGGGTAAATAGGGATAACACCTATTTTTGCTTTTTTTGCTTAAACTGGAATGCTAATTGCATAGCTTTAAACTGGATAACAAAGATGCCCCCAAGACTCAATCATTTTGATCCTGATATAGCATTTTAAACATCAACAACTACCTTAAAATTGTTCATAGTTGGAAAGTGTGCCTAATCCAGCGTTGCCAAATGTACGGCAATTGCCGTTTCGTACGGCAATCACGCTTCTAAAAGACAAATTGTACGGCATACGGCAGAGTGGTCATTGCCGTATTCTAAAATACGGCAACAAGAGCTTTTTTTTAAATTCCTTTTTAGTGCCATACACCTATTAGGTTAAGTCGGCTAACAAGAGCATAAAGTTAAAAAACAATTAATGTATCCAAAGAGATTACAGAACGTGGATACTTTTAGCGTAAACATGAACACATCCAACTTTTATAATAGACAATGTTTCATGTTTGGTACGAGGAATTCCCTATAATCTACAACGCCTGCTCTTTAAATCCTCTCCTCAAGTCGCCTCGCCGCCTCGCTCTTGTTTCATTGTTTGTGCTAGCAAGTGTAGCTTAATTTTAACTTTTGAAAAAGAGCAGTGTAGCGATACGTGAGATAGTGATTAAAATGTGTATAAAAAAGAATCTTCAATGCAGTAAACCTAATCAAAACAAAACAAAAAAACCGCCTCTTAACATATACCATAAATTGAACTTTATTACCAAAACAGTGCATTGTCAGAAAGCATTCAAACTGTGCGAACTTTAAGCCAACCCCCGAAATGAATAATAAAATGAAAAAACCATCAAATTACGAAAAAAATTAGATTATTGAAACTGAACTTACTTTAGGCAATAATACAAATTTGATGGGAAGAGAGGAGTGAAAAATATATACTGTTTTAATTTCTAGTATAAAATAAATAATAAAATACTTTTAATTGAAATTTGAAATTTTGAATTACATTGTACGGCAATTTTTGTTTAAATACGGTAGATTTTTTTCTCCAGTACGGCAACCCAATGTTTGCCCAGCGGCAACACTGGCCTAATCACCCCATTTTACCGGTATCTGTGACAGTGCTTAATGTGGGAAAATGAAAGACAGCCGCTGGACGTAGCTTCTCGGAATCTTCCAAAAAGTCCATTGAAAAAGTGTCAGTAAATAACCACCAATTTACTGAGATTATATTTCATCCCTTATCATCTCATCTTTATTTCATATCATTTTCATATACAAAATCTATAAAAGATTAGGCTAGATGGTACGATACTTTTGCCTTTGTACTAATAACGTCACCATTTTGACATTATGTTTTCAAAACAAAACCCAAATTCCAAAGTAGGTGCCTTTATTAATATAATCACAACCTAACAAATTGACTAATAATTAACTTAAGATTTAGTTTTGTATAAACTAAATTACAATTTCAATCATTGAAAAGAAATATGTTGTGTCCAGAAGTATGGGATTTCCCGCCACCTAAAGTTTATTGTACGTCGAATAAAAGTATAACATTAGAATCGGTACAGAAGTTCATCAAAATGAATGATTATTATCAAAGTATTATAGTTACATGCCCGGATACTACACAGATGCCGAGTTTCATCAAAGACACAATTACGGAGGACAGTGTATACTACAGAATAAATGATTGTTCGCTTAAGGAAATAATTGAACCTATTTTTATAAATACTTTTGTTAAAAATGGATACTTGTATTGTTTATCAAGTGAAAGAAACTGTGTCATACAAAATTGCTTTGCTGTAACGCCGGAGGGAATTCTGATATTACACATTCTAGAATATGATTTTCAAACACTAGGATTTGAAGGCCACAAGCGCCCTCATAATTACTATGAGGTATCAATAAAATTGAAAGAAATAAAAAATTATGATAAAATACGTCAAGGTCTTAAGAAGTTGGGGAAATTTGATTTTGATGTTATATGGGAGCCGACAAATGAAGATATTTGTCCATCAACCATAGCTAAGTATTTTCATGAACTTAACTACAAAGTAGCTGCAAAATCTCCAGTTTTGAAAACTGTATCACCTACCATAACTGAAATACCATCAGTTTCACATGCCAGTATCGATGAATTGGTTGAGTGGACTGGAATACTTGCTCACAATGGTAACCTGTCACAGCACGAGACATACATTAGTACTTACTGTCCACCTGAGAGTGAATGTTCATTACATTCAACAAACATTTCAGTTATAATTGTTGAAGGTTACTTCTCACCTACTGTATTACAAAAGCTATGCAACATTATAACAGATTATGTAAAATCTAGAGACTTGGATGGTTATTGGGCATCAATCAGTATACAAAGCTGCAATCATAGCTATTGGAGATGGAGTTATAGCAGTCCCAAGATGTTTCAAAGTCATGATTCAAGTTGTAATATATTTTTTAGTCATGAAAATAATATGTTATATTCAATTGGACAGTTAATATATTCATAGTAGTTGTGAATTGTGACAGCTTATATTGTCCAAAAATGAATTTTATTTTGTGCAACTGTTGCTCATAGATAATGTTTATTTGGTAATAATAAAATTAACAATTTCTCACAATTTTTACTATAATTTCCTTAAAGAAGACAATTTCAATGAAGTTTGTAATATGTTCACAGTCTATCCAATACCCCACAGATACTAGAAGCTATAGACCTCATGATAGATATTGTAGACATAAGAATGTCCCTTTTTTATTTTATTGCCTGGATGTGTGGACGAGCTCACAGCCCACCTGGTGTTAAGTGGTTACTGGAACCTATAGACATCTACAACGTAAATGCGCCACACACCTTGAAATAGAAGTTCTAAGGTCTCAGTATAGTTACAACGGCTGCCCCACCCTTCAAACCGAAACGCATTACTGCTTCACGGCAGAAATAGGCCGGGCGGTGGTACCTACCCGTGCGGACTCACAAGAGGTCCTACCACCAGTAATACTTACCTTGCCACAGATAATGGTGCTCATCCTTGAGATCACACAAAGTAATTACTTCATCATAGAAATAAGCAAGACAAGGCTTCCAACCTCTGACTGACAACATCATATTACATTAATATGATGTTGTCATCTCACTAATTCCTGTATTGAATACTGGTGTGGAAGTGCATGTGACAAACCTACTCAGGTTTTTTAGTTATTTGTGCCTACAAGAAATATATTATATTTAAATTACACAAAAATATGATTTGTTTCTTGGTTATCTCCTTTTTTACTAATCCTTAAATATTTTTGTTAAAAACTATTTGATGTTTTTAGACATATTAATGTGTTACTTCCACAACTTATGACAAATCTATTGATACCTCATTATGTCTGAAGATGCTGTGGAACATGTTAAATTGCCAAACATACAAACTTACGAAAAACATTAATTACGCTTCTATGTCAGTCTAGTAATTTTAAGATTTAATTATATAAAAAGTATATAAACTTTAAGTTCCAGTGATATATCTGTGTAAACATCTATCCTTTAAAACCATCACTCGTCAAATTGCAGCTATCTATTTACGGAGCTATCAATAATTAAGAAAACGAGGTAATAACATTTTCAAAACTTTATTGTAACAAAACAAGAAAACAAGTACACACTGAGATACATAAACGCCTGCACCAAGGATAATGTGAAGCCAAAGATTGCAATATTGCATAACTTCAGGAATGCTATTAAAAAGAATTTTATAACCTCCTATAGACTTACCACTACAACTGATTATGCTTACATCTTTTCACTATCAGATAGACTAATATTACCATCAAAGACACTGGGTTTTTTATTTATGTAGGTGAAATTTAAACAAAAATTAGTATTCAAAATACCATGAAGTCACTAAATATTGTAGTACCAAGCCCAATATATGAAAAATGAAAGTATTTAAATCTTAGCCAAGCCAATGACTCCACAAGCAATACGACCACCAGCATTACCAGTGGTCTTACTTAGCTCGTTGCCACCGAGTCCCAAGTCATCAGGGTCAGCATGGACAACTAAAGTGCGACCAATGATGCTGTTAGGTCCATGAAGAGAGATCTGGGAATCTTGGATTGATACCTGTAAATATAGAGATTTTTAACTATTTTCAAAAATGTATCTAAAAATCTTTTTATTTTTATTGCCAAGGTGTGTGGACGAGCTCACAGCCCACCTGGTGTTAAGTGGTTACTGGAACCCATAGACATCTACAACGTAAATGTGCCACACACCTTGAGATATAAGTTCTAAGGTCTCAGTATAGTTACAACGGCTGCCCCGCCCTTCAAGCCGAAACGCATTACTGCTTCACGCCAGAAATAGGCGGAGCGGTGGTACCTACCCGCGCGGACTCACAATAGGTCCTACCACCAGTAAAATCTTTACGCTTTAAGTACTCCTTTGAAAATGAAATTACAGGCTTAACGAGAGACTGCTGGATGGCAGGAATAGCAAACAAATTGCATATTCTCATAACATTGGTGGTGGTAGTGATTAATTTACATTGTAAGCTTGCATTGGTAAACTACACTGGCTTATTTATTTCTATTGTGAAGCATTGAGAATACATTCCGGTTTGAAGAGTAGGTTAGTTATTGAAAATGACAATGAGACTTTAATATTGTCTGATGGTGGTCAGCAGCATAACCAGTCTTCATTATTACAAATAGTGGAGATAATATAACAAATTACATAACATTAATACATATTAAAACTAAAGTGATGACAAATTTATGAATGATGATGCTATTTAACATATCAAGTTGTTGAGGTCATCAAAATGATGGTACTTACTTTAGTGACTCCAGCGTCTTCAATTGCCTCAATGTTACCGAGATCGCCGACATGGCGTACAGCAGAACTGGGACCACCATGATCTTGTTTTTCAGGGTTGAAATGAGCTCCAGCTGATGTGCAACCGTTTGTGTTGTCACCAAATTCGTGCACATGGAAACCGTGTTTACCCTTTAACAGTAAAGTTTATTCATTACCATGGTAGATGATGCCCAGATTTTCAGAATGAATACATGAAGCTTATTTTGCATTGTTGTATTTCTTCATGTTAACTTGTTAACAACTCAATTTGTAATAAAAATATTTACATTATGTGTTAAAACCACCTGAAAGTTCTGAATATTGACTACACTATTCTCAATAATTAAAACCAATTTCTTTATCAGTTATTATTACAACATTATTTTTTTACTATCAATGTTTAAAGAATAATGACTTGCTAGTTGGATACAAGCTTCCATATTATCATATTCAGTAATTGTATGTACATTTAACACAATCACTATCATTGCAAGGTCATTTGACTATAAACAGTTTAATTATTCTTATTTGTTAACATTACCTATTTACATTGGGATTTTACAAGTGATAACTATAATTTTACTTTTTTGTACTTTAAAAAAAAAATAGAGACTACAGATAAAAAAATACAAAACAAGTATTAAAGAGACAGGCCGATTGCATTTTCTCGACACTTCTTATTATGACTTCCCGGTTCCTGCCGAATTCTTGCTTTTGTATATGATTGAACAGTTATGAGCCAAATTGATAATTGACTATTTTTGCCACAAGATTCATTTGAATTTTGATGTCTGGATAGCAATTATATACACAACAGGGTTCAAAGAGAGCAAGCAGTTGAAGTCGTCGTGGCCTAAAGGATAAGAAGTCCGGTGCATTCGTATCTAGCTCAAGGTGTATGGCGCATTTACGTTGTAGATGTCTATGGGCTCCAGTAACCATTTAACACCAGGTGGGCTGTGAGCTCGTCCACAAATCTAAGCAATAAAAAAATAAAAAGCAGCATTTCCATTATGGTGTCATGTTGAATGAGTGGAATTCGGGAAATGAGAATAAATTTTGTTTTTGTTTTAGCACAGTCATATAGTCCCCAGTCAGTTGACCTAATTTGATAGCCTGTCAAAGCCTATTTGTACTAAGTAATAAGTTTCGTAGTAACATCACATACAAACCTTAGTCAAGCCCTGGACCTCTCCAGAAACAACAACAGGTGACTTTTCATCCTGTAATTGAAAGGCATTATTTAAAATGTTGTTTTTTTCTCTCATCAGTCTGACTGTAATTATCAGAAAAAAAATTAATTATTGATCAATAACTTATTTCTTATTACTTATTATATATAATATATATTAACTTTTCAGTTTGAAATGTTTTTTGTTTATTTTATATTAAGTTTGTAAGGTAAATTTTCCTTATACATATATTACAAGAAACAACACCTTTTATACATCCTTAACAATTGTCAACTAAAAATACTGAAAAAGAATAAGAGGATAATCCAAAAAATATCCTCATTTCATTGTCAGGATTAATACTTATGTAGAATATTTAAATACAAAGTCATGGGAACAGTCTGGTCTTTTCAAATGTCACACAATAATGATTGGCTTTAGAAAATGTTTTTCATTTTTCCAAGTATGATTGAATTTAGTGTTACATTTTTCTAATCTAATAATGTATTATTACCATGAAATAATTTTAAGTATTTTTTCATGCAAGATAAGTTTTTCAATCAACATTTATGACAAGGTTACTAAGCATCCAGAGTATAAGGAAAATTTAAAACAAATTGTAATTTATGGGTAACTTTATCTAGAGATTGAAAACTCACTTCTGAAACTAAATTATTTTGAATCATTAATCAAGAAAAATGTTCTACATCAACAACTAACTGTACAGAATGATTATATTAATATTAAATTTTACTTAGTGTATTTGTAATTAAAATAGGCAATTCCAACATAGCACTTTCTTTAATTTTAATAAATGAGGAAATGCTTGAATAAATATTTTATTTGTTTATAAATATTGCTGCCACTATGATGAAGTTTGAATATAAAAGTAATGGTAGGCAACACTTAACACATGTAAGGTTACAGTTTCAAATATTGTGTTCGCGACGGACATAAAGAAACATAATTAGAATAGGACATTCCCGACGGACATTTAGGAAAATTAGAAATAGAATAGATACGTAAAAATAGTTATAAATGTCCGCAAATAGATAGTATATGAAAAATAGCTGTGAAATAAATAGATAGAGAATGTCCGTAATGAACATAGTAAATATATAATAGAAATGTCCGTAATAAATAGTTATGTTAAAAATAAGTTAACATAAAATAGATAATAAATAGTTTATAATAGAGAATGTCCGTGATAGACAGTATGTTAAAAAATAGTTAGCATACAAATGTAAATAGATACAAGTAAATTTGTTATATTTTGTTTATAAATAAAGATTGGTCCTCGTGGTCTTTAATTTGGCGTGGGAACGCAGGAGCGAGTCACAATACGGGCAACTAATAGAGCGACTAGGCAAACAATAGGCGAGCGAGGCGGCCGAGAAAACAATAGACGCCCACCGTGCTCGGACTCATAATAGCGCTGGCCGAGTGCGCGTGGGCGACCATAAATAAGGGGCCTACCTCGCTGCAAATTCAGTTCGAGACAGCGAGCCGACGAGTCAAGACCTCTCCAAAAGAAGAGGAGAGAGCCGTCGAACAAGAAGAGACTCGCTCCTACGCCCTGCGCCGGTCAAGCCACGAGGACCGTGTGAACGCCATACTGAAGACTTCGTTATTTTCCTCGAACCAATCCCAGCACCCGTTCCGCGACAGCCACTGCGGCAATACTCGAGCCACCACGTTTCAACGAGAGTAAGAAGTCTAAAAATCACACGTGGTGGCCGAAACCTGAGCGGTGGCCGTCCGGAATATATTGGAATGCTTATTTAAATATTTAAAACAGATGATTGTCTTCTCGTCAGTGTAGACAATGACTTATCATCTAGACACGGACAGAGCAACATATTAGAGTTTTGTAAAAATAAAATATTATAATGGTGTAATAGTTTACAAAGTATATGCAATATAATTATATTAACCATGAAGCAGTGTTTTTAAATAGCCTCTCACCCCAGAACCTAGTCCACTCAAATTCAACCGTCCAACACACTATAAGTACTGGAGTGCATAGGCTGCAGTAACTGCTTAATACTGGACTGCATTTATGAGGACATTACCATTCCTAATAAAATAAAAAAACTGTACTGTACGATATTATAAAGCAAAATAAAAAACCAGTCAGTAAAAACGCAAAAAAACAATTGACTTCTAGAACCATCTTACACCAGGTAGGTAGGTACATAAAAATGTCGGCCGGTACTATAACAGACACAAATTACTCATAAATATATTTAATATTTGTTCATTCATAAAAGTGTGTATTATTAATGTTAAAGTACATACTTACGAATTTATTTTATATGGTTAAATAACCCTAAGTATGTACATACGTAATACAATTTATTTAGTAACTTAATATTGGAATCGTTGGTAATACCTGCTGATCGAAGAAAACAGTTCCGCTAACATCACCACGAAGTACGCAAACTGCTTTGGCGGGCATTGTGATATTGTATTATGTTATATTTAGAGTATAGCAAGATTAAAAAATATTTAATATTATAAATCAGTTTTACAAGAAAAACCGCTAACACTTTCACACTACTTCAGAGTCCAATTATACTGTGACAATGACAAAATTGATTGACAAATGACTATACAGATTTTTTTTTAGGGGATTTTATGACCTGGTAACTAAGACCTGTAGGTAGTCTTATTTTAATTTTTATTCTTATTTTTATGAAAAATGATAATGTGGAGTGAAATGAAATGAAGATGATTAATTTGAGACAAATAAAATGAAAAGAGATGATATAGGATGAAACATAATTTCAGTAAAATGGTGGTCATTTACTGAGACTTTTTCAGTGGACTTTTTGGAAGTTTATTTTATTTTATTTCTTCGATGCGTGGACTTAGATGGGGCTCATAGCCCACCTGGTTAAGTGGTTACTGAAGCCTATAGACATATACAACGTAAATGCGCCACCCACCTTGAGATATAAGTTCTAAGGTCTCAGTATAATTACAACGGCTACCCCACCCTTCGAACCGAAACGCATTACTGCTTCACGGCGGAAATAGGCGGGGTGGTGGTACCTACCTGTGCGGACTCACAAAAGGTCCTACTACCAGTAAAAAAGGATCCCAAGAAGTTACGTCCAGCGGTTTGGTTTTATTTTCCCACATTTATGCACTTTCATAGATACTAAAAAGTTAATAAACCACCGTTATTTACGCATTTAAACCTGAAGAAACACTTAATAGACACATATTATTATCATTTCATTTCATGCCATGTTTCTAACCAACTTTATTTCATTTTATAATATCATTTTTCATATAAAAATATAATATATAAAAGACTAGCTGGCCCGGCAAACGTTGTTTTGTCATATAAATTATTTCTAGGAAATTTATATAACCTAGATATACCGACTGCAGCGCCCTCTGCCGGGCGCCATATGATTGGTAAATCTAAACCATTCTCGAATCCATCTGAAGGTATACAGAAAATTACATCAAAATTGGTCCAGCCGTTTAGGAGTTCAGTGACAAACACACGCACAGAATAAAAAGATTACGCTGTATGGTATGATCCCTTTGCCTCTCTAGCTGGAAAAATTAAACTACTACTAATTTGCCGAAATAGTGTTTAGTCTATGAATTTGCCTTTGCTCGAATTTGCCAAGAAATTTTCACCACCTATTTATAGCTTCTGCTTCTAACAACAATGTAAATCCTTGGATTGGTTTGCATTAGACCTAAAATATCACCTAACAATAATTAACAGGGCGAAATAAAAATAGGACAGCATCAGCCATTAAAAGCCACATGAAGGATTGATTTTAACCATTTATTTTCAGCCCTTTTCTAGTGATGGATTCTGAATCTTCACTAGATGTAGATTGTGATTCTGTATCTTTTCCTAATAATCCTAATGTAAGTAATAAAATATAGTTGATGTTCTACGGAGAGGAAGTCAGAGACAATCATTCAGTTCTAAAGTCTTTTTAATTTATTATACCAACTTTGGATTTATTTTTATACGTTAACTTGCAATCCTACAATGAGTAGGTGCAGTCTAACAGCATTTATGGATACTTAATGTTAAGAAGTTACTAAATATTAAGACATGTTGAATGTCACAGGAATCTGTTGGATGCCGTCAATGCTGGATTGGTTGTTATGATGAGCCTTCAGCCAGTGTCAAGCAGTGAATCTGTATTATGAAAGTAATTTCTTTTAGAGTAAATTTAGTATAAGCCTATAAAAGCTACGATAAATATCACTAACCACTAAATTCTTAAGTATGTTGATACCATTTGGGAGACTAGTATGTAACTCATGTAACTCTGTAAAAGCTAAGTGGAGAGCTACAAAGATTTGTTTGAAGTCAAACCAAGAACTATCTAATATCATATCAGAGGAGAATACATGGTTGTCTATTTTTCTATGCAATCAAAAATGCATTATCCTTTTCTAGTCATCAGTCTAAAATGCTGTCTTTATCATATAATAGTCAGTGGTTTGGATATCCTTTGGCACTGTTGATGCCTATGTTAGCAGCAGTAGCAGTAGTTTTTAAAACGAAGTATGGAGCCAAAATAGAGCATGTTTTTGGACAAACTATAAAATACATACACTTGACATATTAAATATTATATTATGAACACCTCTAAATTTAAATTTCATTACAGACCTGCCCACTGTGCAACTGTCAAATTAAATTATACTTCATCAATTTTACTGAAAAATTTTTGATGTGCGAAAATGATGACTGTGAATTTCCATTTGGACATGAAGACCTTCAGTTTGTGAAACTAGGAAATGACTATAATGGAGATGATGACTTATCTAGTGTATTCAGTAGGAGCACTAGAGCATCATCTGTTGCCTGTAGCTCTGTAGTTTCCAATATAGCCTGGGGTGAAATAGAAAAGATGAATAGGATCTATGAGTCTGAGGACAGTCAGCTAGAGACAAGGTTATTGAACAGCTCAGCTGATCGTGACCATGTCCTCATGAAATCTCAAAAGGACAAAGAAAATGATGAAGAATTGAAGAAGAATATCCAGAATATAACACAGTTGACAAAAGAGTTGAGAGAGGCAGAGAGTAATGGCCCTCTCCGGCTACAAAACCAGAAGTGGATTCAGAATTTGATGAGAGTTCAGGAGCTGTCTGGTGTGAAACTATTGCGAGAAGAAGAAATAGAAAGGCTTAAGAAGAAAGAGCCGGAGTTGGGTTTAGGAGAGTTGACAATTGATTTAGCTTCAAAAGAAGATGAAATGTCTTGTATAAAAATTAAAATTGCTAATAGAACAGAGAAACCCAAGGAACCTGAAAACTGAATGTCTTTGCAAAAATAATTCACTGAGCTCTGTTAAAAATAGATAGAGAAAGCAATTATGGATCTTATCCTTGTTCATTGAGAACAACATCATCACTGAATAAAGGCAAACTTGCTGAGTTTGATTTGTCGTCTATCTGATAACTGGTTTTGTTTTGAACCAGCAGTCACTAACTTATTAAAAACATTTAAGTTGAAATAACTTGTATTTGATTTAGTATATTTTTTTAATTCCATTGTATACAGCTTGTAGCCGAAATAAATCCAATATCCTAAATACTATTCACGATAATGAATAATATCTTGTTCAATGCAAGTTTGAAATAAAAGTATAGGGATTTTCTATATTTCGTTAAAAAACTAGGGGTATTGCGTTTTACACACACGCTTTTAGCGTGTCGTGCATATATTAACGACTATTTATTAAAAAAACTCAAAATTTAGATGTCGTCGTGGCTTAAAGGAAGACGAACAGACAAATCGACAGATTATTAACCAAACAGTGACACAAGAAACTGGTAATACCGGGAAAAGGACGTGTTTCATAATTTCTGAATTTAATTGAAGAAACCAAGAGTCGCATTACGAATCTTTTTATTATAATAAATTTTATATTCATTTTCTTTTCAATGGTAGTCGATGTACTTATTGCTATTTATTTATTACATCTTATTCTAATATGCAGGAACAGCTTATTAATAAAATACAAAAAATATGAAATCACTAGCTTCTAGCTCAGAATACCGTCAAACGGGGTTAATAGGAATCGAGGGGTGAATGGGGATAAAATTGGGATTGAATGTTCGTCTAACTATGAAAATCTACTAGCCATAGCCTATAAAATGGGAAAAATGTATAGAAGAATAGTTATTTGTTGAACCGGCAACACTTATTTGACATGAAACTAAAAATAAATTGTCAAAACATCATTCTGAAATTGCCTGTTTGAAAGTACCGTTGGAGCTCATCATTTTACCGATCGATTTAAACTGTTTTTGTGATTTTTGTATTAAAACAACTATATCAGCGAGGAGGTTATTTATTCTGGAGTCTGGATATCATAATTTAATTAGAATTGAAAGGCTTTTTAAGTCATAAAATTACATTTTATTAAGACTCATATTTTTTTAACATACTAAGAGGTTTTTCGGTACGTCTGGGGGGTCCTTAGGTACGACTGAGGGGTAAATTGGGATGAGGTATTTAATAAAGAGGGACGACGCAGTACGTCAAGAGACTGTAAAGGGACTATAGGGACAGGGTTGTCACTTTATGTATGAAGTACCTAATTACCTATTGGTGATGTAATTATGAACATTTTGAATTTATAGTCCCAGACAAAAATAGTAGTGTGTTATAATTTTACAGCTTTTGGCTATTTATTCGTGTTTATTTAGGCATTGTAGCTCTCAAGTAGATGAATCGATTTCGATACTTTACCATCGGCCGTTTTGAAGATCGATCGCAGCTTTTTTTTCGTAATGGATGAAAGGATTTAATATTGTGTCGGGAAATTTTCAAAATTACGTTTATCTATTTTATTTTATGAAGATTATTTTCTTTCAGATTCCTAACTTCCAATAATACCGCGAACATAAAAACCAAACCGAGAAAAAAATTATGAAAGATATGATGAGCTAGTCATAGAACAGGCACTAAATGAGTACAACAGTACTAATCAATCGTTAATAGATATTACACAAAAATATAAAATCTCCAAATCAGTCCTTCATAATTGTGACAGCCCTAGCAGTTTTTCCCTATAATTCCAATTATCGTACCTAATAGCCCCATTTCGTGTTTAAATAGGGAAGGCCTATAATTTGAAGAAAATTTTAAAACTGGATGCTTTACATGGATCCGTGTAAAGTCCTTAAGAATCTTCAGGATGCGACTCAAATATTGATACCAATATCAATATAATATTTTCAGCCATTACTAGTGATAAATGAACTCAAAGTTCAATTCCGTATCCATTCACCCCGTTTGACTGTAGTACTTTAAAATAAATAAAACCACACCCTATATTGATGATTTACCTGTGTGCTTAGTGCGAGTTTTTTAACGTTCTCGATAGCGTAAAAGTTAACCCAATTTTGTATGCAGTTGGAACAGCGCCCCTAACGGCAAACGATCCAATTCATATGCAAATTATATGAGCTAACTTTTACGCTATCGAGAACGTAAAAAAACTCGCACTAAGCACACTGATATTTAAAGTAATTTAAAGTGGCAACCTATGGTGGTAAAGTTCGAACATGGTTATCGGAAATCATGAACTCAATCTCACGAATTATAATGCATCAATATTCTTAACACTCTCACCGCCACCTATATATAGAATTTGTCGGTGCGGCAGGCCGTGCGGTCCGCCGGCGGTCGCAACTATACCTAGCCGTGCAGGCCGTGGTGAAATTTTGTTATATTTTGGCGCGAAACATACGGTGCGCCGGCGACCCGTACGGCCTGCTAATCTCGTTTACTGCAACATATTGGTGGCGTGTCTAACTCGAAAATATATGACCCGCCGGCGGACCGTATGGCGGTGAGAGTGTTAAGCGATCTTCTAAGCGACCGCTCCGCAGCAATTATCGACATCACGATTATGATGTAAAAAAACCTATAATAATCTTCGTGATCACAGAATTTGTACGATCCCTTTTTCCGACCTTTTCTGTAAACCTAGTACCTACTATCATTAGAGTAAGTAATTGAACTAAGGACTTACTATTTTGGAATGAAATCGGGTGAAAGTGCACCTAACAATTAAAAGTTTACTGACAACCGGCATGGGAATTTCCTCGACAGCTCGTCAAAGATAACATCGTGTGCTTTTTACAATATTTCCCTTGTAACTTCCGTCTATTTTAATAATAGATTGATGTGCAATTGAATGCATTCTAGAATCCCAATGAAGTATTCGTGGGGCTACAATAACGATCAATACATTGAGGCATCTTACAGGTAGGATTATGGTATGATTTTTAAAATACGTTATGGGGTCTGCACATATAGGCCGTTTTCCAATTACAGCACAAGAGCGCAATATGCGGCATAATGCTCAACTAAGCTTCACCATAATTCGGCATTGTGCGTCACTGAGTCGCATTATGCTCTGTAATTAATCATCATCAAATATCATCGTATTAATCGTAATGTCACTTAAACCAAATAGCATTTCAGCCCTCGTTAGGTTAAGTACTACAGCATTGGAGCAGCGAAAGAATTGCGTCCCTTGGCAAGAGTACTCCGAGCTTTGATCAACAATAGTAAATAGTACCTAACTAGTTAAATAGTAACAAGCAACTAGTTAAATAGTAACTAGCAACTTGTTAAATAGTATCTAGCAACTAGCGGGTAGGTACCACCACCCTGCCCATTTCTGCCGTGATGCAGTAATGCGTCTCGGTCTGAAGGGTGGGGCTGCCGTTGTAAATATACTTAGACCTTAGAACTTATATCTCAAGGTGGGTGGCGCTTTTACGTTGTGGATGTTTATGGGCTCCAGTAACCACTTCACACCAGGTGGGCTGTGAGCTAGTCCACCCACCTAAGCAATAAAAAAATAATAGTAGCTAGCAACTAGTTAAATAGTAACTAGTTACTATTGTTGATCGAAGACTCAGAGCGTCATAGCTTTTAGGCTCGATAACTGCTCCATGGTTAATAAGGCAGGGTGGTGGGGCATGCTACAGATAATTTTCAAAAGAGCCCTGTCTGTGAAGTCGGTTCATAAATCGTCACAGGATGCGGGCGTCGTAGATTTTCTTAGAAGGTGTATGAACTTGACTTTCCCTATTTGATACGGATTGTGACAGATTCGATCTGTGAATGACGAATTGTTGTATGTTCCCGATTTAGTTACATTAATATTTAATTTAAATAATATTATTGTGGCGGGTAGCCATCGTACAACGCAAGATAATTGACAGATGCCTGAATCTCGCTTACGACATTTCAAGATAAAGCGCATATATACAAGTTCCGAACAACAACATTCGGACCGTCGGTCTACCGAGCAATATCACCCGCTCGGTGGAAGATCTTCCCTTTCGTCGTTAAACCTTCCCCAAAATTATTATATCAGAAATAGCTACCTCGTCAACAGTAGTAATCAATATCAAATACTGTAACTACACTTGAGACCTCAGAACCTATATCTCAAGGTGGGTGGCGCATTTACGTTGTAGATATCTATGGGCTCCGGTAACCAATTAACATCAGGTGGGCCGTGAGCTCCTCCATACATCTAAGCAATAAAAAAAAAATTAAAGGCAATGCAGAAGCATGAAGATCAAGTCCGTGAGCTCGTCCACCCATCTAAGAAAAAAAAAATGGTATTTCTGCTTGAAGATCCACAAGTAAAACTCGACGAATTCGTAACTTGCAAATTAAATAATCAATACGAAATTCGTATCAGCTAGACCGCAAATATTGACGCTAAAGAGAGTAAGCGAGCTTATATAGGATGCTGATGAACGTTGCGATCTTACTTTCGTTGCTACGTGACACCAGCGTACAAGTGCACGGAGAACAGAAATAAAAATATTAAAAAGGTATGTACGCACTTACACTCGTTTACGGTAAAATCTCATGTCATTTTATAATCTTCGGGCTTTCAAATACCTCAGGCTTATTGAAATTCGCAAGCAACTGACCGTACAACCATTTTTAAGCTTATTAAGCTCACTTATTTGTGTTGCTTGAAAACTTAAGAAAAAGTTTCAAAGTCAAAATTATTAAATGCTCAAATTAATGATGTTTTAATTTTAAATAAATGCAATAAATAAATAATAATAAAAAATAAATCGTGATTGTTTTAAATTTAGAACCATGTTAGATAATGCTTTTAATTTTCTTTTCAATTATAATTTTGCTACGAAATCGTCTTAGAATTAATGTAGAATGAATGATAAACAAATAACTTCCTGTGTAGAAGGAAATGGTTAATTTGTTTATGTAATAAAAACGGCGTGGGAACGAAAAGAGAATTCCCTTTGCAGTAAAGTTTTTTCATTTATTGTGGTTAATGGGCAGATGAACTCGCGGTGTTATGTGAATATCTATCGAATCTCAATTAAACCACAATTTGCTGCCACTCATCTTATGACATCTCTTATCTCAATTGTGTAATAACCGTATTAAATTGCAAAGGAATCAACAATAGCATAATTTATTCACTAAAATATTAGTTAAATTAATGGGGAGGCTATTATTTATCATGGCTGCGTATTTTTTAATCCGTAGAACAGTAAACATTTATTTTTCTTTAAAATTTTGTTCATTCTAAATTATTAATTAGGTATATAAAAAAAAATGCAAATAGTTTTTGTATTCACAAGGCAAAATGATATAGTTTAATGATAGATTTACTATTTAGCAACATGTTCTCGGAATCATGTTATATTTTGTTATTTAATCATATTAAATAGTGTATTGAGTGTTCGATATTCATTTGCCGATATACATTATTGTGTATCAGTAGTTGGATAACGAAACTAATATTAGTGTTTTTTTTCATAGAGTTAATTTAAATGGCGACATAATTCGCCTCACCATAAGTAAGCTATTATTGTGGAATCTGTACGGGTTAGGTACTTTGGATTCAGGCTTGAAGAACGACTGCCGTTTTTCAATAGAATTGAAACTCTGACCTAATGGCTGAAGGTGTTTTCACGTTGTGACGTCGAAAGGCTCCGATGACCACCATACAGTGTGTTTAGTGCGAGTTTTTAACGTTCTCGATAGCGTAAAAGTTAACTCAAATTTGTATGCAGTTGGAACGTATGCCTACATTTGCCGCTAGGGGCGCTGTTCCAACTGCACACAGATTCACTGACTTTGCACTATAAAATAAAATAAAAACTTACCATGAATCTGATTGAATTACATTTCCCTACAGATGGAGTCCTGGTTTTCTTTGTGTCTGTTGCTCTCTGTCAGTTGTGGAGTGGTCAAGTGTTTAGGTGAGTAGCAAATTAATCAAACATTAGGAGGGTAAATTAAAAAAAAAAAAAAAAAACCATGCCTCCCGAAAATCATAATAAAATATTGCCAGTGTCACTTGGAGCGATGTAAGGTTTTATCAATATTTTATATCCAAATCTGTCCAGACTTAAAAGTTGTGGTGAAATAAAGAAGCTCAGATAACTGCATGAGCCCTAAAAATTATACTCCTTTTTGGACAGTTGTGTAACAAACATTATGTAAGTTCCATGGGGGGGGGGGAGTGTTTTAAAGAGTTATTCGAGATGATTTCTCTGTTTCTTTTTACCATCGCACCTCGCGTCATCGGAGCAGAGTTCATCCAGACTATTTAGGCTCCCCTCTACGGGGTACTCGAGCGCTATGGCGGAGAGTATTCAGTGGTAGACAGTGATTTAGACAAGCCATTTCGGATCCTCCCGATCCACTAACGGCGCTTTTAGGTACCTCAAGCACCGGTCATCGTCCTCGTCGAACCCGTCGCTTACGACGAAGGGCTCGACGAGTAAATTAACCTACTGGCACAGCCCACTGAGTTTCTCGCCGGATCTTCTCAGTGGGTCGCGTTTCCGACTCGGTGGTAGGTTCTGCGAAGCACGGCTCTTGCTAGGGTTTGTGTTAGCAACATCATCAGGTTCGAGCCCCGTGAGCTCACCTACTAGTTAAAGTTGCGCTGATATGTTCTCTCTAGATCATCAGCTTAGGTTTAAAAAAAAGGGGTTTTGCTAAGCCCCTGACAAATTTAGCGTCTGTAAGCGACGGCAACTTCTCTCCATCAGGTCGGCCGTATGCTCTTATTATCAAAGGCATTAAGACAATGAAGTAACTGCTTAAAACAAACTTGTTCGTTCACATTTTTTGTTCGTGGACAGTGGTTCTCAATATGACAGGGTATAAAAATTTCAAGCAAAGCGATTTCGCGACATCTATGATCAATTCTAACTGTCTACTAACTACTAACAGTACAGTTTCTAAATAAATACGAACATGTTCACAAATTATACTATAAACACAGCCCACTGAGTTTCTCGCCAGATCTCGGGAAGATCCCAATGTTAGTAAGCCTCATAGGCTAAATTCGTCGAAGTTACCGGCGATCAAGTAAGATACCAAAAAAAAAATTACGTCGTGTTAATACATAAATTTGTGTTTTTTCGTAATGATTCGTGTAATTGTAATTCCGGTAGTGCCTGCTTAATTCCAGAGCGAACTGTCATGCGTGCCGTATGGGAGGGATTGGGAAAGTCGATCTAATTAAGACTTAGAGCTTATGTCTCAGGTGAGAGTAGCTTTCACTTGGCGATGTCGACTTGCTCCTGTAAGTCCTCGGCTGCGGGAAAGTTGCGGGCTCGTCCGAGCAGTTACAGTTACGAATGAACAAGACAATTCGAAGTCATTAAAAATAACGTAACGTAATGGAAAAAGTGCTATTAATAGCGAGTCATTGTAAACGAAAGTTACGTGTTAATATTGAGTAACATCTGCTTTCGAAACTGTTCAAATTGTAATTTTATGAGCTGACTTATTGCTTATTCACGTCGTTGTCGATAGAGTGGTTCTCCTGATTTTAAGGCCAATTTTTATTCACTATACATCGGGGTACTGATTTACGGCCCACCTGGTATTATGGTTGCTAGAGATCATAGAGTCCATAGACAACGGCACTACGTTTATGACGCCATCCACCATGAAACGTAAGGTCGGTTAGAGTAGAAATAATTTCAGATGGTGAACTTGATTGTTGTACGATTACTTCAATAAAATAGATAAAGAAATGTTCCATCAGCGGCCGCCGATAATTATCCTATAAGAATATTTTTGGTTTACGATTTCCTGACCGAAAGAAAAAAAGAGCAGTGTCATTGACACCTTTATTTAGGTACATGAATGATTTTCATATTCATATTGTGTAAGAAATAAAAAAAATATAACTGCAAAACCTTTTTATGTCAGTGACTAGCAGTTTACGTAAAAGTGATTATTAGTATACATGTCGTCACATAATTTGTATAGTTGCTTATATTTCACAAAACTTACAGGAATCGAGCAATTCTGGACAGACGATTACAAGACGTTTGAGAACGTTTACGGGAAGACATCAGACAAGGAAATATACGGCGCAACTTTACCGCCTGCCGTCAAACAAGGCGTCAAACGTGAGGCCTCCGAGAAGAAGGAACATCACCAGCTTAAGTACGACAGAGACGCATTCGACATCCACACCGCAGACACAAATACGGAATCAAAAAAACCAGCCATTTCAACGCAGAGCTTCATAAAATACACAGATTTTATACCAATAGCCCATACTACAGATCCGGAAAACTATGGTTATTTAAAGCAATTAGAAAATTATGAGAAAGATAACTCAAAATTTAGTGCACCCTTTCTTACTGCGAGTTTCAAATCATACCCTTCGAACACTTACAAAAGCATCAGAGATATTATTGAATCGGATCAACATAAAAACACTTTAGACAGTGTTACAGTTAGTGAGAATAAACTTAAAAACAGACCGATCAGGTTTAGGAATGATTCGCTGAAATCGAAATGCGTTTCTGGAAGGTGCAATAAATTATCTTCAATCAGAGGAACGAAGCCTTACGTCGCTAGAATAAAACATAGGATCGTTAAGTATTAATATTTTGATTGCAACGGATATGTACAGAAATATTCGTTGTGATTTTAAGACTTTAATTTATGAAGTAGTTATTTTAGTTAGGTTATTAGACGAAATTTTCTATTTTAATTTTAGTAAAATTTTTGTAGATTAATATTTAATAAATAGGTAAAGCTTTGGTTTTTATTTGGGACTGTATTTTGTTGTTGAATGTTGTAATATTTTTAGTAACTTATTAGATTTACCATGAAGTATGAATTTTTCATATGTAAGTTGATGCAATCTATCGTAAGGTAGCACGCAGATCGATCAGATGTCCAAAACATTATTATGCTTTTTCATATCTCTTTTTCATCCATCTCTTATCTCTTCACGATGTCATATGTTAGGCATACGGATATGTAGGCAGTGGCTTGGATCTGCCCTTGGCATTGTTGACGTCCATGTCCGACGGTAAGCACTCACCATCAGGTGGGCCGTCTGCTCGTCTACCTACACGGGAAATAAAAAAAGCTACCCTCGCCGGTGATGTCATGTAGTCATCTAGATATAGATTCCATGGGCGAATCAAGACTCTCAATAATGAAGCAGCAGAAACGTAAAGGAATTTCAGTAAAAAGCACCGTAACTATGGACTATAGTGCTTTTGAATCAATTACTGAAGAAAAAGAAAATTTACCAAAATAAATAGTACGGTTAGGTGATGATTTTTTTAAAGAGATTTTATGAGTTTAAGAAACAATAAATAGACAAAATAAAACAAACCTCACAACTGCTGTACTTCTCGCGTTCCCGCCAAAAAGTCCTGTTAGGTGACGAGGAATAAAATGCACAAAGATTAAATAGTTCACTTTATTTGTATTAAAACATACTTAATTACAATACTCAATCTTGTTCATCCGTATTTTTGGACAAAAATTGGCGAAAAAGAATTTTTCATATTCTGCATTTTCACTCACAAATCACATTTTTTCACAAACTAAAGTCCTACTCCAGCACATATTATTTCTGCCGAGCTTTATAATAACAAAACGAGAATGCTGGCTAATAATAAGCCCCGTGGACATTGACAATGGAAAGAATTCAAGGAAAAAGCTACCAGTCATAATTTTATAGAATTTACCCATTTAACTTGGAAACCGTGACAAAAGTTCCAGGGAAAATATTTAGTATATTTTTTTTTTGTTTGTGAGACTTTCAATTGGTCTTATAATGTACAAAATTATATCATCAAAATGGCTGCAGAATTCTTCTTAAAATGAAATAAACAGTATACACTTAGAAATGTGTATGTTACAGGCTAATAATATATTTAGGCTGGATCAGGTACCGTTTACCTACATTCCAAATATGCATATCTGGTACAGAACAAAATATAGTTAAAACATGAAAATTATCAATTTCACTTGTTTATATAATTTTTGATTTGTTTCATGTTTCACAGAGTTATAACAGTTCTTAATCTATGACATGCGAAACCACAGACAATAATAGATATATTTTTAACAGGCTACAAATATGATTATCAATTCGAATCTTGATTAATTGATTTGATTCTTATTGCAAATGAAACGGAATTGTCTTAGATTCATTAAAGTAATTATAGCGTCCTCATCACTTTTTGATTGTAAGACAATTGCCGTAATGCCAGTAGTTGAAGAGTAGTACAATAAGAGCCAAATAATCAAGCAGTTAAATAGTATGTAGAATAAAATCAAAAGCTTTAATAATTTCATGAATAATCTAACATTTTCGCGTCGTTTGTAACATGATTCAAAAACTGTAAAACTGTGATACTCTTGGTTTTATTTGGATCCTTTACAATTTCCGTTTTTTTTCTTTTCATGGTAACATTACCCACAAAACAAAAAAATTCGGAGATTGTAAAATAAATACAAGATGTAATAATTTAAAGGCTATAATCGTGTGAAACTATGAAAGCCTAGTATTTTATTTGTCTTTTTAGGAGCATTTTATACGGATGAAAAATGTTGTTCAAATAAAAATGGAAATTACGCGTTTGATATCTTTTATTTTAATCTTTAACAGATCATGCAGAAAAAAATCCCTAAAAATTACCATTACTTAGTAAAGGCTAGTTTGTTGTTATTTGAGATGAAAAAATAAAAAGACAGAAGATGTAGGCTCTCTTAAAGACATATTTTGCTCTCGTAATCTCAAAATTGGCCAAGAGACATTTGCAATGTTCCCGAATTTCGTGTGGAGACTGTGTGATGGATAATGCACTGCAGACAATGACGAATCCGTATCAAAAGCGATGAAATTTCAAGAAAAATGCTAAAAAACCAACGGTAAAAAAATAAACTTGTTAATTCTTAATGTTCCAAATAGTTGGAGAATCAACCCATACTGTTGTATGGAGTATAACTTTAGTTTCCATTTAAGGGATTTCATCCTTATTTTCTTAGTAAATAAAGTTGGGATTAGTATCGCTTTGGCGTCCATTTGCGGTAGGATTGTAGAGGTTCCTACTCTTCTTCTTATTTTCTTCGATGCTTTGCAGCAGGAAAGGCGGGGCCGTCGACTGCCTCTGCTGCCTCTGGTCTATCTCTCTAGTTAACTCTTCTACGAACTGCCCACCCGTCTGCCTGGAAGAATAAAGGGGTTAATAATCTGCACAACAAGATTTACATAATAATATTAAAATTTTATGTGAACATAAGGTGAAATTGCAAATCTTTTGATGTAGTTAGTATGCACAATCGGTCAGTTTTTTTCAGGTAACCAAAATTTTTATTTTTTATTTTTTTTATTGCTTAGATGTGTGGACGAGCTCACAGCCCACCTGATGTTAAGTGGTTACTGGAGCCCATAGACATCTACGACGTAAATGCGCCACCCAACTTGAGATATAAGTTCTAAGCTCTCAAGCACAGTTACAACTGCTGCCCCGCCCTTCAAGCCGAAACGCATAACTGCTTCACGGCAGAAATAGGCGAGGTGGTGGTACCTACCCGCGCGTACTCATAAGAGGTCCTACCACCAGTAATTACGCAAATTATAATTATGCGGGTTTGGTTTTTATTACACGATGTTATTCCTTCACCGTAGAAGTCAATCGTGAACAATTGTTAAGTACGTATTTCATTAGAAAAATTGGTATCCGCCTGCGGGATTCGAACACCGTTGCTTCGCTACATACGGATGCACCGGACGTCTTATCCTTTAGGCCACGACGACTTCATAATAAATAAATCAACATAGCTATAACGGTTAACAAATACGCATTGTTTGATTGCTTAGCGTAATTTTACGTTAACCAGTGCGTATTCTCAAGCTGGAACCATTAAGTCATAAAATGCGCGACAAGTTCTAAAAACTATGCTAATTTTCAAAGATAAAATCTTTTTGATAAGATTTCTTAAGGCTTTTTTCTAAGAATATGTACCTGGGTCGTTAGATTGTTTTTCTTTTTAGAAAACGAGTATTAACGTAATTGGAAGCAAGAGTAATTGGAAGCAAAGATATTGTTCTCAATGGCGATCAAAATCTTGCAAAATATATAAGTATATTTCATTCTACACCAGGTTGGTAGCCATGAAAGCTACTCGTGGTAATAAACAAGACTTTAATCATTTATATTCCACCTCAGGTTCCGAAATTAAATGATGCTTGTCAGTTTTGCTATCATTTCTGTGACTAACGTATACCAGACCGACAATTTCAATAAAAAGAAACCTCACTCTTTTTAACCTCCTTTTAAGAAGGAGGCAAGATAGCACTGCGTTAGGGAAATTCCTTGAATATAATCTGTAATTTCAAAGACACGATATGTTTGTTATCTTAAAGCAAAGGATAGGATAACCTAATTGTTAGCAACGCGCTTGTCAATGTTTGTCTGTTATCTATGTGTAACGGGCTCCTGGTAGATTTAAAAAAAAATACTCTTTTTGCCGGCGAATCTCATGGTTGCGATATTTTATTTTTAATTTACTAACTTCATGTCTTTGGATTAATTTTCAAGGTCACTAGACTGCTGTAAACGAATTTGAATCTTATCTTTGATCAGTGATTGTTTTACGACAGAAATGACGCCGGCATTGATTCTTGCCTTTGTCCATAGCTTGTCCAGTAATTGCATACGTTTTAAGCACACACATAGGTTGTTTTTATTACAGTTTATTACACGATCGTGTTTCTTTGTGATCTAGTGAAGTACGTTTCTATTTTTTTTTTTATTCCTTAGATGAGTGGACGAGCTCACAACTCACCTGGTGTTAAGTGGTTACTGGAGCCCATAGACATCTACAACGTAAATGCGCCACGTACCTTGAGATATAAGTTCTAAGGTCTCAGTATAGTTACAATTATAGTTATAATTATAGCTCAGAGCCCATCCACTCTTAAGCGTGTATCGGATAGTCATCCTACACCACAATATATTTTATAAATGCCCGAAACTCGTTATCGAAATTTTCAAGATATGTTTGAATTTAAACAAGTCCCGAACAATATTGGACCGTCGGTTAATTAAGCAGTATCAGCCGCTCGGTGGAAGATCTTCTGTTTGTCGTTACTACCCAAAAGAGGTTATCTAACTGAGATTTCAGATACGAACGTCATTATCCACATGACATGGACATGAGACCTTAATTATATAGTACTAGCGACCTGCCCTCGCTTCGCTTCGGAAACATTAAACCACACATGAAACAAAAAAAAAAAAATAAAAAAAAATTAAAAAAAGTAGCCTATATTCATCAGGGACAATGTCGGCTTCTAATGGAAAAAGAATTTTTCAAATCGGTCCAGTAGTTTCGGAGCCTATTCGAAACAAACAAACAAACAAATCTTTCCTCTTTATAATATTAGTATAGATAACCGCTAGACTCGTATAACTATTTTATTCAGTGGTGTGAACCTAATAAAAAAAAAACTAATAGTGTTTCAACTATTGAAACCGGAAAGCGCGCCTATTTCCCATTAGAAGAAGTCGGCGTGGGGATATCTAGCTTTACGGGCAACAACGTACAACACGCGTTAATACTAGAGATTACCCAAATTTAAATATTTGCTGGTTTGATTACTATTACATAGATATTATACTATAACAGTCGTGAAGTCGACAATTTGAAGTCGTTGTGGCCTAAAGGATAAGACATCCGGTGCATTCCTATCTAGCCATGCATCGGAGTTCGAATGCCGCATGCGGGTACCAATTTTTTTGATGAAATACGTACTTAACAAATGTTCACGATTGACTTCCTCGGTGAAGGAATAACATCGTGTAATAAAAATCAAAAGTGATAGAACCTCTTGTGAGTCCGCACGGGTAGGTACCTCCACCCCGCCTATTTCTACCGTGAAGCAGTAATGCGTTTCGGTTTGAAGGGTGGGGTAGCTGTTGTAACGTGCAGGTACTTAGGTTGTAGATGTCTATGGGCTCCGGTAATCACTTAACACCAGGTGGGCCGTGAGCTCGTCCGCTTAGATTGGTATCTAAGTCATAAAAAAAAACAAAGTAATTTGTGAACTATGTTGTTCTCTGTTCATGTGTGTGAAATGAAATGGTACGCACCGCTCCGAAGGTCTGGCGCTTTCCACGTCGCCATCGCTGCCCACGTACATGGAGTACCCTCGCCTGGACAACTCCTCATCAGGAACCAGGCCCGGGTTGTGGAATGCGTGGTTCTTATCTGAATTCATTTTCAGTTTTCTGAAACACAGCGACTTTGAATTGCATGTCGAATGGCTATTTATGCTTTTAGAGTAAGAATTAGTTTAATGTAGTTCCATCTTCTATCAGCATGTACCTAATTGGCGACGTCTAGGTCATTTCTCATAGCCGTCACCAAGACTAGGGATTATCACTGCCCGCTTTTGAGGATTATTTCACAACTCGTATGAATTAGGATATATCACAGCTTTGAGGATATGTCGCTTAGAGTAATTCATTGCAGATCCGGTAAGTGGCGAGTGTTATATTTGTAATTGTAAATATTTGGATTAGTTGTGACATCTCTGAATCAGAAGTCGGTCAGTACAGAGACCACAGTAGTACGAACAACGTTAGCGAAACGTTCCACCACATTTGGTTAGTTGGTTGTTGTCGGTGACCTTATTGACAAGTAACTACTTACATTTTATGCGGTTAAATCTTTATAAATATCCCTAGTGACTTGAAAGAAAAGAAAATATTTAAAACCCTTGCGTTTGTTTCAGACATTAAGCAATTCAGGTTTGGTATAATTTCGTATTTTCTAACATAAACGGCACACATACGATAAAAGTTCTATTAATGTTTAATTGGATATTTATGTATGATGGATAATGGAAAGGACGTCTTCAGTCTTTGATAACCCTGAATATTTATCACGGTTGACGGAACTCTGTTTTAGGTTGGATACGGTGTCTGTTCGAGAGATCTAGAGTGCTATAACTTATTTTTTGTTGTTGCTCTTGTAGGCAGACGAGCATACGGCCCACCTGATGGTAAGTGGTTACCGTCGCCCATGGACTTCAGTAATGCCAGGAGCAGAGCCAAGCCGCTGCCTACCGTTAAGTACTGTCCACAAGCCTCGTTTGAAGAAGGATATGTCATAGCGCTCGGGAAACACCGTGGAGGGGAGCTCATTCCAAAGCCGGATGGTACGTGGCAAAAAAGATCTCTGGAAGTGCACTGTGGATGAACACAATGGCTCCAGGTAGTATGGATGAACTATACTCAGGTGGCGGGCGGTGCGATGGTAAAAACGCGATGGTGGTGTCACCTCAAACAATTCCTCAGAGCACTTACTGAACCCTCATCCGTCCGGTGGCCTGCATGTCGTCTACTCTCCTCCTGATGGAGGCGACCCTCGCGCACAGCACCACTGCCATCACGAACACAACCAGCCATGCGCAGCTGAACACGCTCACTATTATGATCGTTTCCAACTCCTGGAAATGTATAGTAGGTAATAGTAAAAGTAAAACTGTATACCATAAAATGGGAGACTTTTTTTGTATAATTGGTACTAAATGTATTAATGATATTAAGTGATAAGACCACTGAAAGAATGCCAAATGAAGCGATTCTGGGTAGGTGGTGGGTGGTGGGGTGGGCTTGATAGTTTGATCCCAGAAAATGCCAGAGTATACAAAAATTCCCTCGTTCGATGGTACTTATTACGTATCTAATATGTGATAAGACTTGAATGTTTCGTGAAATAGTTTTATTTGTATGTTTGTGACCTGACTAATTCTGCTAACAATGCTTCCAATGTGGTATTCGAGCAATTATTACATTGACTTTTTGCTTGCGTCAATACGCTAGGAGCGATATTTTAACATCAGGTTGAATTACTTTTCTTTTTAATAAATCCGATGGTGTCTTCGATGCTAATACGAATCACGTTTATAGAATACGTATACAAATTCACGTTTGAATGTAAGTTATAACGTACATGTAACGTAAATAAATGATTAAATCCCCTTCTCGGTCCCCATTTGGATTAATCGCGGCTCATTGGGATCTTGTTATTAACATCACAACTCATTATACGTTTAATATTACTTAGTTACTTAAAAATCTAAGACAATCATGCGAAACACATATAGCAAAACATTTGAAGTCGTCGTGGCCTAAGCGATAAGACGTCCGGTGCATTCGTGTTGAGCGATGCGCCGGTGTTCGAATCTCAGGCGGGTACCAATTTTTCTAATGAAATACGTACTCAACAAATGTTCACGATTGACTTCCACGGTGAAGGAATAACATCGTGTAATAAAAATCAAACCCGCAAAATTATAATTGGCGTAATTACTGGTGATAGGACCTCTTGTGAGTCCGCGCGGGTAATTACCACCGCCCTGCTTATTTCGGCTGTGAAGCAGTAATGCGTTTCGGTTTGAAGGGTGGGGCAGCCGTTGCAATTATACTTGAGACCTTAGAACTTATATCTCAAGGTGGGTGGCGCATTTACGTTGTAGATGTCTGTGAGCTCCGGTAACCACTTAACACCAGGTGGGCTTTGAGCTCGTCCAGCCATCTAAGCAATAAAAAAAAATAAAAAAATGCGTAATTCACGCTAATCTAAAGCAAATACACATAAATATTTGTGATCCTGATGACTCCTTACACACAGTGCAATAATGTCGTATGTGGTGTAGGCAAATTATTTATTTTACGGGCAGATAAAATTTTCGTTCTGATAAATTAAAAAAAAGCGTTTTATCACGAATTCCTCGGTCAATTTATCTCGTATACACAATTACTCAGTTGTGTGTTTCTTTGAAGATGTTGTTATGTGTAGTTATCAAAGATTATCGCTCGACGTGAGAAGGTGGAATTTACTGGCAGCGGGATATTTGCGAGCACGGACGGCGGGTTTTTTTTTTTTTTTTTTTTTTTTTTTTTTTTTTTTTTTTTTTTTTTTTTTTTTTTTTTTNATCCCAAGCTGCCTTCTCCTGAAGGATAACCGGGGGAGGGGTCTGGGTTTTATTTTGTGCCACCGGACGCGGCGACGGAGTGGCACGGGCTGGGGGCGCAACGGGAGTCTGAGGGCGGGGGCGCGACGCGTTCACGGCTTTGCTAATTTTAGCGGCCGCGGGAGCTCGAGACTCCGCGGCACGCTTCTTACCCTTCTGTACCAGGGTGGGACGGCGGGTGTGAATCATTAAGTGATCTATGATCAGCATCCTGTATATTTCTGCAGCGAAGCAGTAACGTCTTTCATTTTAAAGAATTGATCAGATTTACCCTTAGGTCTGAAGGTTGGTGAAGGCATTTAGGTTCCCACGCCGCCTATTTCTGCCGTGGAGCAGTAATGCGTTTCGGTTTGAAGGGTGGGGTAGCCGTTGTAACTATACTGAGACCTTAGAACTTAAATCTCAAGATGGGGGGCGCATTTACGTTGTAGATGTCTATGGGCTCCAGTAACACCAGGTGGGCTGTGAGCTCGTCTACCCATCTAAGCAATTAATTTTCCATGGTCTCCGTGACCGCTAAACACCATTTAGGTGGCAGTGCAATTAAAATATACTTGCTCTTTCCAAACTTCATTATTCTTTCTTTTATTTTTTGCTTTAATTTTATGGGATTTTGAATTAGAATAAATGTTTATTATTAGTATTATTTTCATTCCGTAAGCTCTTACAGGACACCTAAACGCAAGTGGCCGCATCTACTCATTGATATCGGCGATATCTTTGTGTATTAATAGCGGAAAACTAAATAATTTGGCACAAATTAATTTATTGTTTTCATTATATCGATACGCTATGCTTAAATTTATTGTTTTCTATATCTCGATACAGATAACAATAATATGATAATGAAAATTTTTGTTTAGCGCGATTCATTTTAGTTTTCTTTAAAAAGCAATACAAGATAATGTTTCTTTGAATTGTTTATGATAAGAATCAAAATTTGATAATTAGTATTCATCGTCATAATATCCAATTGATTTCATTGTTAAAATTTTAATGATTTATGTGACCAGCTTTTAATAAAACATTTATTTTGGTAAATCACTTTTACCTATCAAAGTATAACAATATTGTTTACATAAATAATGTTCATTTAGTTTTGCAGTGGGTCATGTTCTCCAAGAGAGATTGTATTAGCAAATTGACAAACTTCGTTGTTGACTGTCAACAAGACTATATAAGTTGTGATCTAAATAAACAGTATATTTGTTATCGTATTCCTAATGTATGTCTGTATGTATGTATGTATGTATGTATAAGTAAACTATAGGCCTTAGGGATAGTGAATGTCTTTTTTTTTTTAATTTTTCAAGAGCATTGTTATTTGTAATCTATATATTAATACGTGCAGCAAAAAAAATGTACCCATTTTTACGAAAATTGCGCGGACGGAGGAGTATGAAATTTCCCACACTTATAGAGAATATAAAGAAGGACTGCAGAATGCTAATTTTGTTTTAAATTATGAGTTATTAATGCGTTAAATAAATAAATAAAACATTACACACACTACCATGTATTCGACACACACACATATAGACTCTTTGTTTATTGTCAAACTTTGTTATTGCTTAAAGCCTGCGGTCAAATTGAGAATAGGTTAATATTTTTTATCTTTGCTATTATTTGAGTGTAGTCTTAGAAGAAGATTATAGAAGTATAATAAATAGTCTTTGACAATATAACCATAATAATGTTCAAATTTATAATTTCAATTAATTATAGTCGAGTTTCGACTACTGCGGGATGCTAATATAGATAATACTCTAAACAAAAACTGCGTATGTGTACACTATTATTGTTTGTTCACCGCCATCATTTCGCACACGTCCAAACGAAAATCTTTCTGATATTGTTGTTGGAAGTACGAATATATTAATGAGACACATACCTGAACTCCGGGTCGATGCATGAATTAAACGCTAATTTAAAATAGCTAATAACATTAACGCTTTTTTTATATCACCGCTATGGTGATATAAAATGGCAAATACGTACAATGACAAATTTTTATTAAACTACCCACATCGTCTGTTGTTTTATTTGTTGGTGGTTGAAGTCATCTTTATCCACAGTACTTAATAATAATGTGAGGGGTAATGTGTTTCCTAATCTGCTGATGGCTCCAATAAGAAAAAATATATATTAAGCACTATTAAGGAAGCTTAAGAAGAATCCTGTTGCCTTTTGTCTTATTTTTTCTGTCTTGCAACAATTTTATCTCAGTCACTTTAAAAATTATCTATATCACAATGTTCTTATATTCAATTTTCAACATCAATTAGTCTTGATTTATAGCTGAAGCCCGGTCTTATGAGTTCTACGTTTTCGATTCGACTTATTGCGGTGCGTGAATAAAATTCTAACTTACCATTGTGTTAAATGATCGGTCTCATGTTTAGCGGTCGCGTCGACGGCTCGGGTTCGACTGGACGCCCTTATCTCGACGGAACAAGTCTGATAACGTGACCATCTTGTGTCGGGACCTATTCTCGGTGACTAACGCGTAATGTCGTATTATCGATCAACTAAACTCACTCGAAGTTTCTAACGAGGTTCTTCTGCGTCGTAGATATTATATCAAAATGGTATATTCCAGATTCGTTGAATTCATTTAAGGGTTCAGTCACTCTGCTGTAAAGAAAGCTTGAGTTACATTTTAGCGACAGATCTTCTGATAAAACTTCGCGATTTTTGTCGCTTTTAGTCAAATTCCGGCGATATGGCCGTCTGAAATTGACAGCAGCAATTGGTCATGTTAAATAAAATTGATTCGAACCCACCTTGAAGTTTAAATATTTATGAAATTTCCAAAAAACAATTACACTACATTTATGACAATAAATAATAAAATTAATACTATGGCCAATCACATGGTGAGGTAAAATTTCGTAAAACTTTTTCGAATAGGTCAGAATAATTAAGTTATAATTGGGTAAAAACAAAGAAATCGGGTGTTGGTTAAAATGTTGAAATTGAATTTATAAATATTACGGTGGTGGGACATAGACCTATATAGTAGGGACACGACATATTGTTCTATACGTACAGTTGCTTATATAAATAGCACCCATTTTGAAGGCACACACATAAACATATATCTATCTCGTTCTTACTCAGTACTTTAACTCGCAGGAAAACAATATAACAGTATTTCAGTGCGTACATAAAATGAAACATGAATATACTTAAATGTCTCCGTCTCCGTCTAATGAGGCCGAAAATCCGCCATGTTTAGCGCACCAAATGTCATTGTCACGTCGGTTCGGCCGTCTGTTTTGGGCAATGAAGTAGGAAACCTATGGAAATGAAACGTCAACCAAAATTTCGTGCCACTGTGACGTCATCTGGCCACAAAACATGGCGGCTTTAGTGCTGTACAAAAGATTTCAATGTTATCAGGTTTTATCGATAAACGTTCTTGGCTCATTTTATTTTAAATATTGTTGAGTATTATTTATTTGTAGAATTTATACTTTAATGGGAAGTAAGTAGGTATATTGTTATGTGCAAATATGATATGATTTAGATGGGTGAAATCTAAGACAAGTTCGTCCTTCGAATTTGCCAAGTAAACGATATGATGATTTTTAAAAGTTGCTACACTGATTTTATAAAGTTGTCGTTTGTCGCAAAACATAAAGATATGGCGTAGTTCAAAGCCATCAGCCCATTTCTAGCATGCTAAATGTTATCGTATTTTGAGTACGTGTTTTTCTTAGACTATTACAATCTATTTTAATTGTTTTGCTGACTCTAAAGTCCGTAACATACTACCGCAGCGCACCCCAAGGAAGGTGCGCCGCACCATTTGAATCACTTTCGCTTGAGAGTGATTCAAATTTTAAACTTATCAAGGGACCGCGTGAAAAAAAAAACACCTACAGAACATTTATTCATTAATTACAAACGTCATTCCTTGTGACTTCCTCTCTAAAATCACTTAATTATTAAATATTTAACAAATTTACAATAGTGTTTTACTCACTGCGGAATAAAACTATTTTATTTAAATAGTTCCGAAGAGATTTTGTCGGTAGCCTTTTTCCCGAAATATCTAAACAGAATGTCTAAATATGTTTTGATGACATATTTTAAAGTGGTATTTATGATTAGTGTCATGATCAATAGATTCCGACCGAAAAATGGATTTTTCGGATGAGGGCTCCATAATGAATTTAAATACATATAGATAATAGTTTTAGGGCATCGACTTTCTTGAGATCCTATAAAATACGTTTTAATTATTATTTTTGTATGTTTTAAGCATGATAAATTATGAAATTTTATATAATCAATCATATTAAATCGATATCAAAGTCAATAAATAATGTACAACCCAAAACAGACGGCCGAACTGACGTGACAATGACATTTGGCGCGCTAAACATGGCGGATTTTCGGCCTCATTAGACGGAGACGGAGACATTTACGTATATTCATGTTTCATTTTATGTACGCACTGAAATACTGTTATATTGTTTTCCTGCGAGTTAAAGTGCTGAGTAAGAACGAGATAGATATATGTTTATGTGTGTGCCTTCAAAATGGGTGCTATTTATATAAGCAATTGTACGTATAGAACAATATGTCGTGTCCCTACTATATAGGTCTATGGTTTTGGGTTATACATTATTTATTGACTTTGATATCGATTTAATATGATTGCTTAGGTATATAAAATTTCTTATTTTACCATGCTTGAAACATACAAAAATAATAAATAAAACATATTTTATAGGATCTCAAGAAAGTCGATGCCCCAAAACTATTATCTATATATATTTAAATTCATTATGAAGCCCTCATCCAAAAAATCGGACACCATTTTTCGGTCGGAATCTATTGATCATGACACAATCATAAATACCTCTTTAAAATATGTCATCAAAACATATTTAAACATTCTGTTTAGATATTTCGGGAAAAAGGCTACCGACAAAATCACTTCGGAACTATTTAAATAAAATAGTTTTATTCCGCAGTGAGTAAAACACTATTGTAAATTCGTTAAATATTTAATAATTAAGTGATTTTAGAGAGGAAGTCACAAGGAATGACGTTTGTAATTTTATTAACGAATAAATGTTCTGTAGGTGTTTTTTTGTTTACCCGCGGTCCCTTGATAAGTTTAAAATTTGAATTCAAATGGTGCGGCGCACCTTCCTTGAGGTGCGCTGCGGTAGTGTGTTACGGACTTTAGGTCAGCAAAACAATTAAAATAGATTGTAATAGTCTAAGAAAAACACGTACTCAAAATACGATAACATTCAGCATGCTATTAATGGGCAGAAGGCACTGTACTACGCCATATCTTTATGTTTTGCGGCAAACGACAACTTTATAAAATAAGTGTAGCAAATTTTAAAAATCGTCATATCGTTTACTTTGCAAATTTGAAGCACGAACTCGTCTTTCATTTCACATAATATCTAAATCACATCATCTTTGCACATAACAATATACTTACTTCCTATTAAAGTATAAATTCTACAAATACATTCATACTCAACAATATTTAAAATAAAATGAGCCAAGAACGTTTATCGATAAAACCTACTAACATTAAAATCTTCTGGGCAGCACTAAAACCGCCATGTTTTGTGGCCAGATGACGTCANAATATCTAAATCACATCATCTTTGCACATAACAATATACTTACTTCCTATTAAAGTATAAATTCTACAAATACATTCATACTCAACAATATTTAAAATAAAATGAGCCAAGAACGTTTATCGATAAAACCTACTAACATTAAAATCTTCTGGGCAGCACTAAAACCGCCATGTTTTGTGGCCAGATGACGTCACAGTGGCACGAACTTTTTGTTGACGTTTCATTTCCATAGGTTTCCTACTTCAGTGTGGTGGGACGTGTTGTGAAGCCGTGAGGTTAAGTGTCAATGAGTTGTTCAGCTCATGCTCAGGCACAACATATATTGTGGCCCGCAGTCGGGAGTAGTGAGCTTATCTGCGTAATAACGACTGTAAAACAAAATTATTAGCTAAACTAATTTAGAATTACTATTTCCCTTCTAATAATTCTTTCTCTTATATTTAATATTTACCTTCATTAATTATAATAATAAAAAATAATAAAAATACATGTGTGCAATTCACACGTGGTAGAAGTGAAACCTTCCAAAATTAAAATACAATTATCTTAAAATTTTGTCATTAGTAAATAATTGTAAGGTAGCGCCCTCTGTGAATTGATATTTGAATTTCACGTATAATCCTAAATTAAAATTCACTACAAGAGCTTTCATACACGCGTTAGTATTAAAAAAATCTCACAGATGGCGCTGTATTAAATAGTATGTATATTTCTGTCTCATTCTTTTATATTTGTGTCTCTTACCTGTCGTTTTTCCCGTTGCATCCGGTTTGAAATCACAACGATTCTAAAGAAGTTTTCACTTCAAAAAAGAAATCAACTTCAAGCGTCAAATGCATGCATGAAACTGAATAAAATGGATTAGTTCGAGACCGGCTTTGAAAGAAAAAAAAATTGAAATTGGTTCACAAATGACGGAGAAAACATACTACACAATGATATAATAAATACAGTCAAACATATATTCCCCTGCTTTTGTGAAATCATTTAAAATGCATACCACTTGTTTCAGTCGTAGTCAGATTAGAGAGTCGTAGTAATATCGTACCAAAGTGTCTTTGATAATAAGAGCACATTTCATAGAATCAACTACGTAGATTGATAGCGATGATAAGGGGTTATCAGGTGATAAGATGAGTCCATTGCAAAACATCATGAGCGTACGAGTTGTACAATCATCTGTTTGCAATTCAACTGTAATTGTTGTAACAGTGCTCTAAATAATAATAATAATAATTTAATAACTAAAATATATTATTAAAAGGAGTCCCTTTAGGCAAGGTTCCGAAGATACTGTTATTTATATTTCTACATATGTATATAAAATATAGGCCAAAGCAAAACATTATACTGCCTAATTTTATCTCATCTGTTTGCCTACCGTTTTTATTAGCAATGGTCAAGTTTAGCTTTATGAATTAATATAAAAACAAAAGCGAAGATGTAATGCATAAAACGAATTTCAATCTTCGGGCGTCGATGACTACGGTCGAGATTTGATCACTACAGTAAAATGTTTAAAATGATCCCGATTAAGCGATTAAGCGAACTAACCCATGGCCGGATCTTCTCAGTGAGTCGCGTTTCCGATCAGGTGGTAGATTCTGCGAAGCACTGCTCTTGCTAGGGCTAGTGTTAGCAAATTCTCTCAAAATGAGCCCGTGAACTCACCTACCCGTCCTGGCGTAACTAAATTAGCATCTTAGGCTACCAGTGAATAGGTAGCAAAAAAATTTATTAGGAATAGGCGCTATAATGAGATACAATTGAGACTCAGCTGACACATTTCAAGTTGGCTGGTGGCATTTTCATCGCTGGTAGAGGCCCCGATAACTTAAAGAAGCTGG